CAGCACCAGAGTACTTCTTTACTGGCCACTTAGGCCAAAGGACTGGTCCTTTTCACTCTTGGAGGAAAAAGTGACATTTCTTACTGCCAAATAATGTCAGAATGCAGAGATATGTCTTAGGCATAAGGACCCTGAAAACCGTAAATTTGCAAGTTCAAATTCAGGACAGTGACAGAAGCTGAAATAACACCATCACTTCAGTAAGAGGTTTGGATGTGTCACTGAACCCCCCCAGATGAATAGTTATATACAGTGATTCAACCATCTCACAGAAAATGTCTCTGACTTGTCTTGGGTCAGAACATCACCACTGTCTCATTGTTTAATGTCTCTACGACTAAAAATCTTCCCCAAAATCCTGGTGCTGGCAGTGTCTCATTTCTAACAAAACCACAGGCATCCTGGACTGAGGAGTCTTTTCACACCCCAGATGGGATGCTTGATGTCATTACATCAAGGTAACTCTAGATTTCAGAAAGATCTTTTCCTTTAACACATCTGCTGTGGGATTCAGTGAATTTTGCATCAACTGCACACCTTGTCACAACCTGCCACAAAATGGCTGAAATGATCCATTATAAAAGGTACGAGTTTGTTCCTAGGCAGTCTCTACAGCATCTCTAAAAATTTCTCTATTCTCACAATCAAGCAGTACCTATAAATTTTTGCCAGTCCCTAGTGTTCCTCATGTGGTATTGCCCATCTCCATGGAACAAATCATCCTAGAAGAGATGTAAAGGCATGTGTGAGATGAGGTACAGCCACTATGGCTTCACCAAGGGCAGATCGTGCCTGATCGATCTGGGGGCCTATTACGGAGTGATGACATCAGTGAACAAAGAAAGAACAACTGATGTCATCTACTTGGACTTGTGCAAGGCTTCTGACAAGGTCCCACACCACATCCTTATCTCTAAATTGGAGAGGTATTTGCACCTGGTATGTGTCTAATGATGCTCTAAAAACAGTCCAATTCTTTGTGTGTTGTAGAAAGCACAGTCTATACAATTTAAAAGGACATAGTCCAGACAATTTACTTCATATTCCAGGTTAGAGGATTCCTTGCAAGATTACTGTTCCTAAGTACCATGTTGTTTACACACTTTGGGCCCAGTGTATAAGATCACACTTTTAAGTTTTATCTCCACCAATAAGGTTCAAAATGAAGCATTAATTACTGGAGAAGATGGTGACAGAAAACTAGAAATCACTGCAACATGAACAAACTGCCTGTTAGATTAAAAACATAAGTTTCATAAGAATAATAACAAAACTTCACTCACTGAATGATGTAACAGAATTGCCCACAACATTCAGTCCTGCCTGCAAAAGAAGGAAAATATTACTAGAAATCACATCTAGGAGTGATGGTAAACATTTAGGGAAAATATAAATTACAAATCTTAATTTCACTTATTTCCACTTTGTCCTGGTTTCAGCTGGGACAAAGTTGATTTTCTTCATAATATCTGGCACTTAGGTTTTAGGAGAAAAACAGTATTGATAATACACTAGTGTTGTAGTAGTTGCTGAGCAGCGCTGCACAGAACCGAGGACATTTCAGCTTCTTACACTGCCCTGCCAGTGAATAACTGGAGGGGCACAAGGAGCTGGACAGAACCAGGACAGAAACATATTCCGTACTATGTAGCATCATGCAAAAACCTCAGAACTGCAGGGAGCTGGCTGGGGGGAGCTGCTGCTGTTTAACAACAGGTTCAGCTTCGGTTGATGGGTGGTGATCAATTCCATTGTGCATCACTTGTTTTGTAGAGAGACATTCATGTGTATATCTTTTTATCATTACTTTTATTCCTCTCTTCCTTTTTGTTATTAGTATTTTTTATCTCAACCTACAAGTTCTACTTTTTTCCCTCAATTCTCTGTCCTGTCTCCCAGAGAAGTGGGGTGGGGTGAGCAAATGGTTGTCTGATGCTGAGCTGCTGCTGGGTTTAAACCCCACACATTTGCAACATAGATGGCAAACCAGTTATTTGGAGTAGCATAAGCAAGACAAACAGCAGTCCTGACAAAAAATCACTGGACTGACAAGGCAAAAACTGATCAACAGAGGCCATCAAGACTGTCTTCAGGACATCTTTCAGGACAGCAGCTGCACCATCAACAGTGACACAGTTGCTGTTAGGGCTGATCGAAAACAGAGGACTGACTTGTACCCACTGTGTGACTGTAGAGAAATGGTACTTAGTCCATCCATGAAACTATTTCCTTCTATTTTCCAGTTGTCTTCCAGTACACTGAGAGATTGGAGAAGGCTCTGAAGAGAAGATAATACATATATTGGAAAGGATGCTATCACTGCTTTCCCAATCTGCAGGAAATTTTTGGAAAAGCCCAAAAGAGCTCACACAATACAGAATAACACAACTAAATTGTTACTACATTAATCATAGTTTGTGCCAATACAAAAAGTAAAACTGCAAGCAAATCATTTTATTCTTGTACACAACTTCAGCTGTGCAAAAATTATTTTACACTGATGCCATAAACAGCCTGTGAAACACAAAAATTCTTGCTTATTTAAGGAATCACTACATATGTTGATGCGCCTGATACAGGAATGGATTTGAAGTGTGAGAGTGTGTTGTTCTAGGAGTTCTGGAAATAAATCAAGAATTGCTTCAGGCTATCAGATTTCGGGATGAGAATGTCACAAGAGGCTTTCCGTTGGCTGGGGGATGTGGGGAGATAGTTCACGCTTGGCAAGACCTATTTACCAGAAGAACTCTAATGATCAGACAGGACACCAAAACAAGAAAGAAAGAAGGGAAAAAAAATGTATTTTTGCTGTTCCTCTCTCAGAAGTCTAGCTTCACTTAAACTTCTGTTGCCAAACACAGACTTCTTTTAAGGATACTGAAGCAGAGATAACCATAAAGATACTTATTTCAACATCCATAAAAATACTAATATGTAATTATACACCATTCTCACATCAACACGAGCACAAACGCACCTGGAACCATAACCTGAAGAGAAACCAGAATGTGACAAATTTTAATGCTGGTACTTTTCTTCTTAGTGAATAAACTGTGAAACGCTGCCTAACTCTCATCTGTCCTAATGCTTTAAGAATGGTTTAAACATAAAAAGCCTGCTAGGAAAGCCTCCTAAGTGCAGAGATTACAAATGGAAGAAATAGTAACACCACAAGTATTTAAGGTTGCTGGAAAGCGTGCCAGCTGAATATAGGAACGTAACTTGTAAGTTTAAACTGCAGGCAAGATAAATACCTATCAGAATTATTCAGTGATTGATAGTTGATTTTGTGATTTTGTCTTGAGGAAAGGGAAACACTAAATGACCTCTGAAAAGCTCTTCCAGCTTTACTTTATGCTATCTATAAAATGTGCAGGTTGCTCTGAAAGTAATGCCTCCTATTTATTTCCATGGGAAAAGATACAAAGTACACAATAATACTATTTAGTAGCATACATTCTCAGCTACAAAGCAAAATTTTTCAACATAGTCACCACCATTAGCCATGCATTTTTGCAACTTGCATGGCTAACAGCCTGCATGTTGCACTTGTAACAGTCTGCACCAGTGGAGGTGATCCACTGTCACTGAAACACATCGCTCACCACCTCACTATGCTCACATCGACTGGTTGGTCTCCATCAGTGTTCAGCAAGCATCAATGAATGTCAAATGGGTGCCATTTTTTCCATGTGGCAGAATTCAATGACATGCTTTTTCTTCACGTGCATTTTATGTCATCCACTGTTTTGCCAGACTGCCCCTCTGCTGCCATCTGTCACATGGCAAAAAAATGTAATGGGATATTGGTGGGAAGGTTCAATCTCTACTGCCATACCACCAACATGCACCTGTGATGCTGCTGGCCAATATAATAAAATAGGAAGCGTTACTTTCAGATCCAGCTTCATACATAACATCCCCAGTTGGTAACAGAGCAACAGCTGAGCATAGTAACAATTTCAGGATGTAAATCAAACACAGAGACTGGAATTAAATGTGTGAGATTATCTCCCACTACCGTTTAGAAAGTTCTCGATCTTTCCCATTAGCAGATTGTGCAAGCCAGTGACTGAAGCAGGATATCAGTCTAGACACCTTGTTCACACACCTGGCCTATCTGCCTACTGCTCTCATGAGGTAACTAGCATGAAGATATACTCATGTTCCACTCAAGGCCATAAGTTGTAATGGAATTACACATTACACAAAAGCCTAACACAAGTGGCAGGAAGCAACTCTGGTGTACACTGTGGACATCCAGTACATTCCCCAATAAAAATAGCCAGAGACGCTTAAAAGGTGCAAGCCTGTGAATGTGGCACTTAGCACCTGTTTCTTCTTACTTCTGAACCGGAAAATTCAATTTGAAATCAAGAGGACATTTGACAGTACCTGTGTCCCGTGCACCTAAGTTATTTTTTGAGACTTAGTGAATCACGGCACACGAGCAATCACAAAACCATGCATATACCCTAGCAGCCCAACACTCCACGAACACCTCTTCTAGGGTTGTCCTGATAACAGCGCTCGGCTAACACGGCTGTCGTCGATACGCCTACGCTCCGGCCTCCCGCGCTCGCGGGGCAGCTTGCGAAACACCGGAAAACACCGAGAGGGCCGGGAAAAGCTCCCGGACGGAGCAGCGAGGATCGCGCGTCTCAGCCAGCGGCCACCGCGCAGGTGGGAGCCGGGGGGCCGGCCGAGGAGCCAGGCACCGGGCGGGGGAAGCGGGGGAAGCGGGGAAAGCGGGGGAAGCAAGGGAGCGGGTGCCGCCATCCGCCGCCCCTCAGGAGCCAGCCGGCCCCGCCGTGCCTCGCGCCCGGCTCCCGGCACGGGCCGCCGCCTTACGGGAAGCTCCGCCCCCCCGCCCCTGCCGGCGGCGTCAGCGCCCCGCGCGCCAATGGCGGCGGCCGCCGGGAGGGACGGGCGCTGGGGGCGGGGAGGACGTAGCCGGGCGTAGGGCCTCGCGTGCGGGACGACGGGGTGGCGGCGGCGGCGGCGGCGGCGGGGCCGTTATTTAGGGCTGGCGGCGGGGCGCCAGGAGGCGGTGCCGCACGGCAGGTGAGGCGCGGTGCGGGAGAGGGCTTCGTGGTCGCGGGCGGTTCCCTTTTGCTGGTTCGTCCCCACCTCCGTCGCCCCGTTCTTCTGCAGTTCTGGCGGGGGCTCGACGCGCCCCTCCTGGTGGGCCGGTGGGGCGGCCATCGGTGGGCTGGTGGGGCGCGCCGCGCTGCGCCGCGCCAGGGCCGGGTTCCGCTGGCCGAGCCGTGCGCCGCGGGCGGGCGGGCGGGCGGGCCTGGTGGGTGGGCGTGCGGCCAAGGCTCTCTGCGAGGGCGGGAGCGAACACCGCCCCGCGCCGATCGCCGGGCCTTCGTTTGTCCCTGCGGCCCAGCCACCCCTCTGCGGCTTTCCCGGGCCGGAGCCTGCGGTGCGGGCCCCGGGAGGACGCCGCTTCTCGCCGCCGTGGGCTGTAGCCCGGAGGCGCGGAGTGGCTTTACCCGCTGTCGGGCCGGGGGCTGGCTGTGGATCCCGTGTGCAGGGAGTGCCTCGGCAGTACCCCTCCGTCCTGGGCCGGTGCCGTTTGACCGAGCCGTTGGCCTGGCGAGTGGTTTATCTGCGTTTTCCTCCGGTGGTGCGGTGTGCTGGTGGTCCTAATGGAGGTGCTGTGCCCCGCTCGTGGCTGTGTCTTTCGGACGTATGTTTTCCAGACGTCCTTAGGTCTGGTGAGATTGAACGTATCAGCGCGCCTCTTCTTTCTCACTGAAATGTGCTTTGCGTTGTAGCACATACTGGCCTTTCATGTACCTTGTAGTCCAGGATGTAGAAAAATCGTGATCTTGGAAGCAGCATACATTTTGTTTTACACTGTGCCCAGTGCCGAGAGCATAGGAAGTTCATGACGTGTGGGTGCAGTTGCAGGCTGGGTCCTTTGTGCACATCCAGTGTGTCCCTGAACTCCACCTGTCCCTGTGGTGGATCTCTGACAGTCTTCCTCAAGAAGACTGTTGTCAGTATTTCCATCTTACAGTTGATGAAATTCAGGCACAAAGGAGAACAGTTTGCCAAATGCACTGGCAGTGAAGAGCAAATAAATTCCAGTCTCATAGTTCTCACCCTTGTTTCAGGCTGACTAGGCGGCTGCCAGCTGGTTGCTGTTTGTTGCTTGTGAGGTATCTCTGACAGAGAAACCAGGTAGAATCCAGTAGAGTTACAGTTTTGTTACTGGTGTTATGTGCTAGAAGGGGGAGAAAAAATAGAGGTCTGAAAACGGAAGAGTTCAGACACTTGCTACAGTTGAGAGTGTTTGTCCTCTTCATACGACATAAATTTAGTTTTACTTCTCATCCTAAATGTTGTTAATTTCAAAGGAGTAATGATTCATAAAAGGTATCATCTGCTGAAATCAAGTAATTTCTGAATTTGACAAGCTATATTTGTTGGTGTATTGCAACAGGAAAGTGAGAGAAGGAGATGATGCAGCAGGGCATAAGCAATTCAGGAGGTTTCTGGAGTATGCTGGTAACTTCTGTACAAGAAGTGGTCTTATGAACCTCATATTCACCAGCAGTTAGAATTTACTTGGGAATGTGAAGGTCAAAAGCAGCCTTGGCTGCAATGACCACAAGGCTCTAGAGTTCAGGATCCTTGTTGGGTCAGGGAGGAACGTGAAAAGTAATATCCCAAACTATAGGAGGGTAGACTTCAGCCTCGTCAAAGATCTGCTTGGAAGAATAAGAATTGCCCTGGGGTAAAGCTGTGGGGGGTAAGAAGAACCAAGAAAGCTAGTTTATACTGAAGGATCATCTTTTCCAAGTTCAAGAACAGTGTATTCCCAGAAAGAGGAAGTTAAGCAAAAGTGCTGAGAGGCCTGCATGGATGAGCAAGGAGCTCTTGGCCAAACTCAAACACAAGATGGAATCATACAGAAAAGTGGAGGCAAGGATGAGGAGTCTGAAAGGAGTACAGATGTTGTTCAAGCATCAGAGGAGTAAGTTAAAAAAGCTAAATTTTAAATGGAATTAAATCTAGCCAAGGGTTATCACACATATCAGAAAAGGCTTCTGTGAGTGCATTTTTAATTAATTAAAGAGTAGGAACTCTTAAAAGAGTGGGCTGTTGCAGACCTTCACTAAGACCTCTAACACTGACTACCATAAGAATCTCATAGACAAGTTGTTGGTGTATGGGTGGACAATGAAGTGGGTGAAAAACTGTGAGCATCTGGGCCAAGAGAGTGATGGTTAGTGGTTGAAGGTGGAGTGGCAATGACTAGTTGTATGCACCATGCACCATACTGGTTCCATTCCTGTTTTACATGTTGATGATTAGCCATAGTGTACTTCCATTGTATTTGCAGATGATCCAGAATTGAGAGATACTGTCATCCAAGGGGACCTCCGTAGGTTGGAAAAGTGAGCTAATAAGAGCCATTGCATTGCATTTCAACAAGAAATGCTGAGTCTGTACATGGAAGATGGGCAACAGTACCAGCTTGGGGGTCACCAAGCTGGAAAGCAGCCTGGCAGAAGAGAACAGAGGGTCCTGGTGTACACCAGCTTGACCATGAACCAACAGGTTGTGTCACGAAGTAGGATACTAGTACCCTGGGGTGCATTAGGTGAAGTGCTGCCAGCAGGTCTAGGAAGGTGATCTTTTTTCTTTTTTTTTTTTTTTTTTTTTTTCTGCTCAGCAGTAGTGAGGCCCCCTCTGGAGTACTGTTTTGGGCTCCACAGTACGAGAGAGACGTGGACATGCTGAAAGAGTTCAGTAAAGGTGATGAAGGAGCAACAGCATCTCATATGACATTAGTCTGAGAGAGAGCTGGGATTGTTCAGCCTGGAGAAGATTCGAGGGATCTTATCTGTATCCTCCATGTATTTTTAGATAAAGTGGATGGTACTACTCTTTTCAGTGGTGCCCTGTGCAGGACAGAAGGCAATGGGCACTAACTGGAACACCAGGCAGCAGTTCTGTGCTGTGCAACTGGTGGAGAACTGGCATAGGTTGCCTGGAGAGATTGTAGTCTCCTAAGGGATCTCCGAAAGCTGCATGCACATGAGCCTGGGCACAGTGCTCCAGGTGGTCCTGCTTGAGCAGAGAGGATTGGACCAGGTGGACCCAGAGATCCCTTCCAAAATAAACAGTAGAGGTTATTCTGTAGTGGAGTATTGGTACCCTCAGTGTGAAGGTACACCAGTATGAATTTCACAGTATACTATGTGTGTAAGGTTATAGAATCATGGAATGGCTTTGGTTGGAAGGGACCTTAAAAGTCACTCCTTTGCTTGTTATGAAACCTCAAGCAGTAGCTCTGATTTGCAATGTAACTTCTATATACAGCTTTCTCGCTCTGCTTACCAGAGATATGTGGATTCTGGGTAAAAGATTAGTGCTTAAAAGTGTAAGCTTGAGTCTTTTTTTTCTAGAAGTTCCTCATAAATAGGAATCAGTTTGCCAGCAGCCTTTGAGCTTCTGTGACTGACCTGGTGATTAGCCTTACTAGACCTAACACCTGATTGTGGAGTCTTGGTGTAACCTGTGCTGCCTGATTTGTAAGTGGAATTCTCTGGCAAGATGATGCCACTTTGCTGTAGTTTCTTTAACTGAAATTGTCATTTGTGTGTCGCTTGAACTGTAGTTGTCATGTTATTCATTTGAGGATTTTTTCATAACTTACAAGATTAAAATGACAAGTTTTTGTATGTTGCTTAGAATAAGTAGAGCCACTCCTTTTGCTTGAATCCCTTATATTTCTTCGAAAAGTATTTTAAAACTGTGATAACCAAATGCTGTTGCTACTCCATGCATATGGTGCTTGACTTCAGGCAGATTTCTAAGTTTCCATAGAGCAATGCTTGAGCTATTGGTTTGAAGACTCAGGTGCCAGTGCTGCTTAGTGTTTTGGTATCAAAATAGTAGGAGGATGTGAAAAATAATAAAAGTCCTGTATGATTTGGAAATTAAATTCAGTGATTTCATGGCAGGTATTTCACATATATTTATTTACTGAAGTAATCTCCACATTTTTAACAGTTTTTTTCCTCTTAAAAGTAACAATATGTGAGTTAGAGACTGTCACCACAAGTAGTTCTAAACTGATCATAATATTTTTTTGTTTTTACTATGATGATATTTTCCAATATCCATTTCTTTCTCTGCTTCCCTTTCTTCTTTATTTAGCTTTGTACCTATCTAAGCTTGTCTAGGAAAAACTGTTTTAGTGATCTGGAACAAGTACATAGTGTCGATAAGTTGCTGATCTAGCTTTTTTTTTCCTAAAGAAGCTTCTGAACAGACTAGCTTTGCCAGCATTAGTTAAGTGTCAGGTTGAACTTTCACATTCGATTCCAAACACAAAGCACCCGTTTGTAAGAGATTTCTGGCTGTGCTGTCTAATTGCTGAGTCTGAGTTTTCTTTTGTACACACTTGCTACTTAGTCTGACATACAAAGCTGTTAGCAGTAAACAATAAGTATTTAGTAGTATGTCTCTTTGAGTGGCACCATCTTGCCAAGGTTTGTGTACTTTGCTTATATGCAAGTTTTCTGTACTGGCAAACCTTTACATGCTTGGATTGGAAAGCAAACATATCTGCACAAATCTCTTCGTACTGTAAAGTGTGGCTGTTTGTTTTGTTAAGTATTAGGCCCATAATTTTTTTTTTCCTACAACTGTCTTCTCAGCAAGATGAATGGAACTGTTCAGTGCAAATTGGATGGATTCTTTCCTTTGTAATTAAATTTCACTTAAGAATCAATCTTACGAAAAGAGAAATTAATGTTTTGTTTTAAAAATAGCATGCATTAGAGGGCATTGTAGTAGCCTATTTGTGGACTCAGGTGTCTGCAGCTTAAATCTTAGAATTGGATTAATTAGCAGGGGGAATATGTCAGATCTATCTGCTTTTAGGCTATTCTGATGTATGCTGAGCTCAGTGTGATTTTTTTGAAGATACAGTTCACATCTGCTTGCTCCCTTGTAGGCAAGTGGGATTTCCAATTAAATGCTCCTTTGTAGATGATGGAGCATGACTCTGAGTTCTGCCTTTCAGGAGCTGAGTACAGTGAAATGATATTATAAGCTGTGGAGAGATTGTTGTTTTGGTGGTGTGGCTTTTTTTCCCCTCCCTTAAAATGAATACTAAGCTCTCCAAAGTACAGAGTAGCAAGGAATCAGACCTCAGGTTTCTCATGTGTAAATCAGGTTATGCACAGGACAAGTAAGTAGGGAAAAGGGTTGAAGCTCAGTAATGGTATTTATTTAAAATGATGACTTCATCTTATTTTGTTTTCATATAAGAAGAATTACACTTCAGAAGAGATGTTACAATTCTATGTCCCTGTTAACTTCTGATTTGGTTTTTGTTTTTTTAAGTTGCATTTATGTTCCTTCAGGTGACTGAGATCTTTTCTCTGATTAGACTGAGTCATATTTAAGTTAGCTTAGTGATTTTAACATCAACAGTTTTTGATTTAGCCTTGTGAATTTGTCTAATCCTAAACAAATGGTTACTAGAAGGAAAACTAATAACTTTGCTACAATACTTAGCTGATGTTAGAGCTTTTTTTAATATGTCACTAATAATAATAGCAAACATTTTTGTTTTTCATTTTTTTTCTGGGAGAGAAATGTTGTGTTGTTTATTGTTGGATTTTTTTTCTGCCTTTTTACATTTGCTTCCTTTCTTTCCTTTTTTTTTCTAGCATAGAATTTACATCTGCTCGTTAGCAGTTTTTGGCAATCAGCAGGAAAGTGGTGCATATTCCTTCTTTTCACCTCTTCCACATTTTTCTGTAGGATGTAGGAGTATGTTAAGACACTGGAAGAGGTGGCTAAGTGCAAGTATTTCCTCATGGACTTAAGACCAAAGTCAACAGAATGCCATTGCTCTTGCTCGCTGCCTGGATCTACTTAAATTTGTGGAACCAGTTGGTATTTTAAAACGCAGAGAGAAATGGATGCGTAAAAATCTAATCTTTCACGTAGCAGAAGATGCATCTGTAATGAACAGAAGTCAGTTGCTTTATTTTCACTGTACGCTTGCATTTAGTTTATCTAAAGATTTGCTGCACTGAAAACTGACGGTTTTCAAACCATTGCATATTTAAAAAGAAAAAGCTTTTTGATTCTGAACTCCATGCAGTCTGATTGCTGCTTAACAGTAATGTTATTTATAAATAAGTATCTAGTGACAGTTGTAAATACCAAGTTACCGAATTTTCTAATCAGCTATGTTTGTAGTATAGAATTTTATTTAATAATTTTTTATATTTGAATAATGAACTCTAAAGTATGGATGCAAATGTTCTGCTAAATAGCTATTATTTTAGTCCAAACTGTAATACGTCTGTGTTGATAAGACACTGCTTTAGAGGCTTGAGATTAGCTTTTGTTCAGTTGTTGGCTTCTAATTCCTATGAAAATAAATTTTCTTTACATCATACTACTTAGATTCTTTTTTAAATCTGCGGGTTTAGGTATGCTGATGTGTAAGGAATGTGAGTCTAGATTGATATTGATACGTTTGTACATAAATGATTTATACAGTCTCATTCTAGCATGACATATATAAGGCATGCCTTGCATCTTTTTGTAACCACGGAACAGCGTGTAGTCAAAAAACAGGAGTGTTTTCTGTTAGATCTGCAGTTTCCTTTCCCTCTAGTATTAGTAATTTCTGCTTTTCTTTTCTAGAGGATACTGTGGAGTTGTTTTAAATTTCTTAGCGAGTTTCCTTTTGTTGGGATTAAGTTCAGAATAATTTTCAACTAAGTTTTGTCAGATTGGTGAAAACTTCAGAAGATGAACTGAACCTAGCATTTCTGGAATTATTCTTATAACCAGAGAATCTAGGTTTAGTTCCTACCTATGAGAACGGTGTTTTTGGAAATAACATTGTGGACTCGATGCTACATTTCAGTAGGCAAACCACATAGAAGTGATTAAACATAATATAGCTTGCTTTTATTAATTTGGACTATTTCCTAACTGAGAGTTAAGAAAACGAGAAGAGACTGGCCTTAAAAGAACTGAGGTGAAAGCTGACCCCTGGCTTCAGTTTCTTTGAACTGTTCCGTGGACTTCTCAAGACTGAGAGCAAGAGAACTCTGCTGTAGTTCAGAAACTTAAACAGCTTCTGAGAAGTTAGAAGCTCTTGCAACTATTGTATGAGCTAGGTAGTGATTTTTTTGTGGCAGTCAAAAGTTTCCAAGGTGAAAGCTGTGCTTCATAATTCTTAAGTAATTTAAGTGTGAATGAGATACTTGGTTTTGTGGTCTGTTATTCTGAACTTTAATGTAAGGCGCTTATATTAGCATCTTTCAAAGCTAGATAATGGTAATCAAATTCACAGACTTTGTTTTAAAACCTGAGTCATGGTGTTATACTGTTAGAACTGCTGAACTCCTACAGAAGTACCAGTGAAGTTTTTCATGTATGATAGCTTCTTTTGTGTAAGTTAATAGATTTTGAACTCCATCAGTTGTCTTAAATAGTCATTGAGCTTGTGAGCACATTAGCAGTGAGTAGAATGGAAAAATAAATGCCCATTCTTTTCCCAGAGAGTAAGGAGATAGTACTTCTGGAGGGTCAGAGAGGAGGAAGGGTATACCTAAGAGATTGTCATAGAGCAAATAGGAATTTGAATCTGACCATGATCTAAAGGGAAGAGTAGTTCATTAAAAAATTTTTTTTCCATTCATCTCTTAACAGGAATTCTGTCCAGCATGTTTTCTGGGTGGAACTGGGCGGTCCATTGCTTGTATCTGTTTTTGAATATTTGTTCCTTTGAAGGTAAGTCATCTATCTTAAGCATAATAGATTTACAGAAGTTAGTTAATTGGATGCTTGAAGCACACATCTGCTTTTTCTTTAGTTATGTGTGGCAGATTTGGGGCAGAAAATGAGAGATCTATTAATGTCTAGGCTATGTTCTTAATCTTGCAGTGAGGCAATGCAGTGCTTAACTAATACTCAGCTCTGCTTCTAGTTACAACTGTTTGATGTAAAGAGGCAGAGAAACCAACTCGTATCAGTAACAGCTTGCTCTGTAGGGTCACTGTAGCAGACTGCAGTGGTGGGTTAGGTCCTATAATGTGATTTCTGTAATTTAAATGCAATATTGCTTCAAAGTTGTTGGTTTTTCAAAGTTGTTGGTAAGGTGAAAGCTTACCTTGATCAGACTAAGCGGCTGTTAAAGCAGTAAGCTTTCAGTGAATTAGTTGTGGTCTCTGTCATCAACTGGAACCATGGGCCACCTCTGTTGTGTGGGAAGTGATCATTCTAAAGATGTTTTCTGTGGCTGTTTAATTAAGGTAGCATTTCAGTCATCTAATGTTTAATCTAAGAGCTGACGTTTGTATACCTATACAGCAATAATCACAATTTTATTGCTAATTGTTTAAAAAAACATGTCTGTTTACCTTCATTCCCAAATACTATTGTATGTAACAATGATTCTGAAATAGGTAACTCCAAGTATTCAACTCAAGTATTTGCATGTGATTCTTCTACAGTTAGTCTGCTGCAACAAAGGTGCACACCTCAGATCTTGTTAACTCTCAACAGAAAATAACTTCTTATATAACTTCGCATTCTTTGCCCTTCAAAATATACTCAGTGTTTCTGTCCTTGACTTTTCTCTCAATCTCTTTAAAAGCCCGTGGTTATTAGTTGAGATTTTCCTGCTCGGCGGAACTTTTTTTTGGAAGCCTAAGTAATGGTAGGCTGGTTGTGCCCCTCAGGTCTTTTTTATAACGGTCAGGTAACTAGTTTCCTGCTTAGGCAGATGTTGTACTGTCTTCAGTATTACAGCAGTGTTGTAGCAGCAATTGTTGTAGAGTGCACTGTTGTTTTTTTTACATGGTTTTTTTTTCTAGTTTCAGGTGGACTTGTACAATCATGTGGTCACATCATTCCAGAGTCTCCAGTGTTGGCCATGGGTTCCAATTTCACAGCATTGTGCATTTTGAATGAGAGTTGCCTTGACTTTGGCAATATATATGCTAGTCAGATTATATGGAAAATGAAAAATAAGGTGGTACCTAAAGAACAATACCGTGAAATAAACATAACTGTTTCTAGTGTCACATTTAATGACACTTCTTCTCTGGCTTCTCCACTGACATGCAACGTTTTAGCAGATGGACAGATTGAGCAGAATATTTATGGAATTTCAGTTACAGTAGGCTGTAAGTACTGGGTTTGTTTTGGTTTTTTTTTTTTGAGCTTAATTCTTGTTTCAGTAGTAGCTACCAAGAAAATTGCTTCTGTGGAAAAAGGGATAAGAATGAAAAATGTGTTCACCTTTGTTTATTTCCAGCCCCTCACCTTCTGGATAATTATATAAAAATACTACAAAATCCCTGTCATCAAAGCTGGTGAATAAGCATAGAATAGTTTTCTAAAAAATGGAAAATATTCTGGAGTATTTCACGCAGATAGAAGTGTTTAAGCAGCCTTGAATTTCAGAAAGAAGGTAGGAGTTTAACTGAGAAAAGGTGCTGAAGAGAAATGGAACTTTCCTTGATTTCTTTTTTCCCTCTCTCCCCCTGCTGTGCAAAGAAGTGCAGTAATTTATAAATACTACCTTCATAATAGCATAATAAGGTTACTATTTCCTTCATTAGTGGACTGAGAAATATCTAGTCCATCTGTACCACTAAATTAAACCTGAGCTGCCTTTAGAAGGAAAGATCCTTCTTGAATTACTGTACTCCTAGAGAAAGTAATCCTAATTGTAAACTTTCCTTATTCAATCTAGATTGCGCTTGCATAATTCTGAGCAGGTGTTCTTTGAGGCAAGACTTAGTTGTAATATTAATAACTTAACTGGTGAACGGTTCACAGAATGCTGGTTAAGTGTTTCTGTCCCCTGAATTTCCTTCCTGAGTATAGCTGGTGAATTACATTGCCTCCTACTGTCAGCAGAAGGTATTGGAGTTACTCTGTGAATTCTATACAGAAGGCTGCTCTAGCTTTGCTATTTAAGATGATACAATTCGGAGTTGTTATGAGTTGAAAAGATTTTGCAGAGAAGTAGTTTTTCATTATAAATCCTGATGAGTACATTTCTTCCCAAGAGAGGTGGAACAGATGAAATATAGGGAAAGTAGAGGACAGCTGGAATACCCTGTGATAAATTAAATGACAGTACAGATAACTTGAGCTGTAATCCACGTGTGAATTTTGAGGTGCATAGTTGTTTTCATTCTGTTAGTGTCCTGTGAACAGTGAGAGAAACGGTGTATTTCAGAACAGTACAAATACTGAGGAACAAAATTGTATGTTTGTAAGTTGGTGATTGCTTAAAATAGGATCTTGTGCTTGAAAAGAAGATAAATATATTAACAAGAAGATAGATTAAATATATTAGACCGTTGTAAATCGTGATATCCTAAAAGCTACAAACTCAGTGTTAGCTCTGTATGCCATTATTTGAGTTCAAGAAGCAAAAATAAATAAATAAATAAAAATCAGCTGCTCTTTGAAAATTTCTTACATGCTATTGAAGTATGCTGGTGAAGATTGTGTATCTTCCTTGTAGGTATCTGGGACTAAACCTTCCCTCTCCCATATATGGGTTGAGTGAGAAGAGATGTAACTATTACCTTATATCTCAAGTTATTGGCAAAGTCAGCATATGCCATTGCAGCTCAACTACTCATCATCATTTTTGTTCCATGTCATTTAAAATGTGTAGGGTGGTAGATGAGATGCCTGATACTTTTATCTGCCTTGTATCTGTTTGTTACTTTGTGAGGCATTTGCTCCTGATTTTGCTTGTGGTTTCTCAGAGTAGATGCTTAAACTTAGCGACTTTGGTTTTCCTCCTCCTTTAAAAATACATGTGACTAAAAATACTTCTGGTGCTTTTTGAAGTTGTTGCAATAGAACATGTAGTATGATTCTTATGGAATTGTGTACATGATGAGATGTATATATTAATTATTGCTAATTCTTCTTGTACAGTGCCCCCAGAGAAGCCTGAAAACTTAAGTTGTATTGTATATCAGCTGTCGAATCTCAGATATCCTATGAACTGTACCTGGAACCCTGGAAATCATACATTCCTGGACACTCATTTTAGGTTGAAATACAGGTGGTAAGTAGCTCTTTATATAATATCTAAACAATTTTAAGCAATTTTTGTAGGCTAAACCAAACTTCCTTGAAGTTGTTTGATACTTTGAAATCATTCTTAAATTCAGTGTTTTGAAAAATTGCTGCCTGCTTTTGACGGGAGGGCAGAGCTAAAGCAACTCGCAGTAATTTAGAACTCCAACTTGAAATTTGTTTACTGCAGTCATTTTACAGCAGCAGCATCTCAATTTTTGTGTTCTTGAAGTATATAAGATAGTTTGAGTACAGTACACCTAATTGTTATGTGGGTGGATCAAAAATATATACTGTTTTTCTTAGGTGATAGTTCTGTGCCATACTAAGCAGGTAAAGACAACAGCATATAATAACTGGATTTTGTAGTTGTTTACTGTGTATTCCTTAAGAACTCAGTGTTGTTGGTCCACAGTATAATCTTAATCTTCAGCAAAAATTTTTCTCCTGTGAAGTCAAATTAAAGTGTTTTTCAAACTCATTCAGATGGTGTCTTCTCATGTAAAGCAGAACAGACAGATTTGCAGTCCCTCTCTGGGAATAACTCTTACCGCTTCCCATCTCCCCTGTTTTTTGTAAAGTGCTTTGGTAATGAATGTGGTAGAAAGTATGAGTAGCTAGAAAACCTTAAATTTGAAAACTCTCTAAGGGAAATAAAATTTTATATGCTTTTCTTTACTTAGGTCACGAGAAAGCTTTCCTGACTGCATACCGAAATCTGTAAATAATTCTTGTACCATTTCTGATGTTCAGTTCTTTGTTAACCTGGAGGTCTGGGTAGAAGCGGCAAATGCTCTTGGGAAGGCTGAATCTGATCATCTTGTTTTTGACCCCATTGAGATTGGTAATCAATATCCCTATTAATAAAGTTTCAGTACTGTGCATGACTTCTGTTCCTGTACATATTGCTAAACAGCTATTCATATTTTCAATTATAAATATAACACTTCTAAGTATTATTAGATAGAACTAGAACTGTGCTGAACAAAAATCAGAGTTTGGAAGATTGCTTTTAGAGCCAGAAGTTCTTATGCAGCCTGCTATAGAAATTTTTGTGAAATAGCAGCCATTTGGGCTTGTGGAAGGCCTTAATGACAGTGTTGCAGCACAGTGTGCTAATTGCTAGAGGCATGGAAAAATAATGCAGCTGCAGGGATGACTGACTTCTTCTCTTCTAGTCAAACCACTGCCTCCACACAACCTATCAGTCAACTCAGGAATACTGCCTACTGTTCTGAAGCTTTCCTGGGAGAACCGGATTTCAGCAGCTGTGATGAAACTGAAATTCAATATTCGCTACAGGATCAGTAGTGATACGAACTGGATGCAGGTAACAAGAATGTCTCTTCTGACTATTCTGCTGTAACCTGTAAACCAGCACTAGTTTGTCAAACTACTGCTGAAGTTTACTTAGTGTTTCATCTCATCTTGTAATTTATGTGGTAACCGAACAGTTCATTTTGCCTATTTTTGCCTATTTGATGCAAAATTACTGATCTAAATGTAGCTTAGAATGCTGGGATGCTTTTTTAAACTGGTTATAGCTATAAGAGTATGGTACAACAGTCTGGTTGTCTTGCATACATGCCTTGAGCTTGACACGGTCACAACCGGAAAAAATGAGTGTGTGTCATATGTGTATAATATGTTCATGTCCTCAAGAGATTTTTTTTCTTTTATGTCATTCCCTGGCTGTATCTTCAGTAGTTTATCAGTTTTTCCTTTCTTCTTAACATTCTCCGAGCAGTGGTATTCCAGAAACTCTTTTTTTAATAAAAATTGTACAGTTTTTGTTTCACTGTATAGATCCAAAAGTATTTTGAATTTTGAGACTTCTTGAAAGAGTAGTTGATGTTAACTTCACAAAATACAGTGTTGGATCAGGTAGCATAGCAAACTGCTTGTGACTAGGATAGTGTATCTCATTCAAGGAACATTTGATTTAAATGCACAGATTTACAACTTAAGGTCTCCTGTATTGATATTTTGTGCAACACTGACTGTTCAGTACAGTTTATCCTGCAACTTCAGAATCTGTTGATCTCTTGTACTATTAAGTCTTTTTTAACTTGTCTTCCCCTTTTAACATATTGAATCATAGAAGTGTTCGATTAAAAAAAGGAAAAAACTCCAAAGACTCTTACTTGCAAGTAGAATTACTTGTGCTGGAATCAGTGTGTATGAAAACATTAATCTGTTACCTGATATGTTTTTCTATTTATACAGTAAGATTTTTTTTTTTGCATTCAGTTGCCATCTTAAAAGGAAAAAGAATTATGGGGAGAGAAATTCTTTTATTAATAAAGTTCTACACTGCCCTACAAGAAAATGCCAGACTTTCAAAATATTTCAAAGTATTTCCATGTCAATTACAGAAGACTGGAAGTAATGATCTTGAGTACTCTAGCTTGATAGATGCCTTCTAGCACAGGTATTCTGCGGTGGTTAATCCAGGAGACACCCATCCTCGTGTTTCAGAGCATTACGTATCAATAAGAGGAGTTACAGGAGAAGGAAGAAACTTTGTATTCCTTATGTTTATGAGAGTTACACAAATATGAAAAGATTCAACAGAATGTAAGAGTTATTCTGAGATAGCTGCTTGCCTGTTTTTGTATATATGCTTCATGATGCACCTGATAAATACATAGAGCTGTGACTGAACTCCTACCACATCACTGGTTGAGAATTTAAGCTTTTAGAAATAAAAGGGACAAGAACAATGTTGTATTGATCCTGTAATATCATGTTTAAGCTGTTTGAAGTGGATACTCCTCTGGAATGTGAAGCTGTAGTAGTGCAGGACTAAATTTTCTTTTTTTGATCAGCTTATAAAATCTTCCTTCCTTTACAGGTTCCTCCTGAAGATACGGCTTCACCAAGGACTTCATTCAGCATTCAAGGCCTCAGACCTTACACAGAGTATGTCTTTTCTATTCGATGCATGAAGGAAGATGGAGAAGGGTTTTGGAGTGACTGGAGTGAAGAAAAAGTTGGGGTTACAACTGAAGATAGTAAGTAATATACCAAAACTGATTGCCAACTTTAAAAATATCTGAGTGCTCAGCAGTTTGACAATAGCCAATTGAAATTCTGCATCCTCATTTGAGCTATTTGATTTGATATGATTGATTGATATGCTTGATTCTGCAACAGAATCTGTTTTTGTATGAAGGCTTTCTTTCAATAGAGAGAGTGCCTTAGTTCATGAACAGTTCAGAGCTAAGGAGGCCATCAAATAAAGTAGTAAGTGAGCTAGCATCACTTAATTATGAACAAGAAGATTGTTTTTCAAGCAGAAGCACTTCAAAAAAGAACATGCAGATGGAAGTGTGGCCTCTTGTTCACTGAAGCATGTAAACAGAACACTATTTTAACTTTTCCTGCATCTGCTACTCTTTCTTGCTTGTCACAGTACCACGGCCTAGTTTTGCAGTGTCTTGCATGCACTGATTTACGATACACTGCCCACAATTGCTACATCTTGCTGCTCGTCCTTAATCAGGTAGACATTGATATGGGTGGTCTTAAAAAAGAGAACACCATGGATAAATCACTGACTTTAAGCAAGATTGAGCCTATGTGAAGAATGGCTTTAGTTGAGCAATATTTAGTCAAAAAATGATTATTTTGCCACAATTTCCATTTTTTTTATGATAGTTATTGATTTTGTTGAAATCCTGTGGATCTAGATTTAAGGCATCCTTTCCCTTTGCAATATGGCTGAAAAAGGATTTGCTGCTATTGTGAGTTAGTGAGGAAGATGTTTTACCTGTAGCAGCTCTTAAAGGGCAGTGTTCATATCATATTTAGTCTTGTCATAAAGGACTTGGCAAGAGGGATCATAGAACCATAGAATTGTAGAATGGCTTGGGTTGGAAAGGATCTGAAGGATCATCAGGCTCCAACCCCCCCTACCACATGCAGGGCCACCAACCTCTGTATCTCACACTAGGATGTGCATAACGTCTAATTTACACCAAATGTTTCACAATTAACAAACACAAAAGATAGGGCATATTTAACCAGTAGGCTAAGTTTTAATTTCACAGCCCTAGTGGGAAAAAGCTGCTGAGGAGTCAAAGGTCAGCCTCCTCAGCTTTGCAGGACGAATACTGAGCATCGTGTAAGGTCCATCCACACTGCATCCGACTGATAAATTTGACTGGCCATGGCCATTTGGCTTTTTGTGGTGATTCAGTCAGCTGTTTGTCTCTTGTTAATAAACTGTTCTGTATTTGTGCTATTTAATCATAGACTCTGTCATATTCCTTCAGGACAATAGTACTAAGACTGTCACTGCACTGGGGCATCTTCCATTAAAATACATATTCAGTGCATTCTGTATTTCGTAGCAGCATTGTTTGGTTCCAGTTTCTCATGAACACATACATTATTTGAAAAGTAGCTACACCTCACCTTGCTACTGTATGTATTAGCTTTTGCAGCTAATGGAAGTAATTTCAGTATATCCTGCTAGTGAGGCACTCCTGCAAGTTTGTGTTTAAGTACGGTGGCGGTTCCTTCTGCCACTGAGTTTTTGCCAAAACTATTAGTTGAGCATACTATGTTTAGCATTTTACTGTTACGTATTTTTATTGTTTTGTAGCATTTTATGCCTTAGCATTTCCTGTAGCAACTGTAAACTCAAATTGCAAAACAGTAAGTGAGCAATAATAATTGGAACACTGACATTAAAATCACATCCATATGATTGTTACTGCAAAACCTTCTAGGATATAAGGCTGGATTCTTACATTTTTTCCATCAAATGGAAAGCAAGCTGTGAAATGTGTATACAAACACAGTCTAAATCTATGCGTACTGCTGTTTAATGGGACAAACAAATTTCTAACAGTCTGCTGCACTGTGTTCATCCATAAGATTTGAGCCATTGTCTCCAGATACAAGCCCAGACTTTGACGATGTTCATCAATGTTCTGTGATCCATTGAACATTTGTCATTCATTTGAATGACCCATCTGTTAGACTGGACTGGAACTAACTTAAGAATGTTAAATATTAAATAGATCTTTTAAGAGGTGCAAAATGCTATCTTCTTGAATCTGAACCTCTGTTGGTGTCAAAACACCTTGCAATGATATGTTTCTTGCTACAGCTAAAGTGAACTAATTTCTTGTTATGGTCTGCTGTGCTTTTAGTAAGTGTTAATATAGTCTCTTCTGTTCAACAAATGGCTGTAGTTGTACCTCCTAGTGAAAACAGAATATTCATTCTTCCTTTGTATTGCTTGCTAATTAGTCAGTACTTTTGTTACTTACAGATTAGTTGAGAGTGAAACTTTCTGTTCTGAGTTTGCTTACATCTTCAGTGGTGGTGTCACCTCCTGCAAATAGCTAGATAAACTTGCAAACATATAGAGTTAAAAGGATAACTTGAGCAGGAAAGGACTTCAAGAAGTCTCTCATTCTCTTTATTTTTTTATTTTTTTTTTATTACTAAGTGCAAGGCTCAGACAAGGAAATCCAGTTCACAGGATCAGCAAAACCTATATGAAAACTACACAGCTACCTGCTGCAAATGATAAATGAAATGGCTGGATGTTTAAGTTACTTCTGCCATTATTATTGCCTGTATAATCAAATTAGAAAACTGAATTTCAGGCAGTATGTTTTGTTTAAGACTGTTAGACCAGTATTCTAGAAAATTGCACAGTGCTTACATTCTGTGTTCAAAATGTCCTGGTGACGTGCTACATTAATGGCAAAGACACAAATGTATGGTATTGATGCTGAACAGTAATGTGAGAATTCTGACAATTTTGAAATGATTTAGAAGCTTTACTTCATAATCCTTATCAGGAAGCATATATTTTGTACCCACAAATAGCAACTGTAGCTAAAGGTTTTTTTGTCCAGCAGAAGAGACTTGCTATGTAATTGTGTGTATTACAGTGGTATATCTAGTGATTTCTGGGGATTGCAAGAATAAGTTACCTTCAGAGCAATTGGATTTTTAGAAGCTTGATTGGTTTCCTTGTAAATCACCAGCAGCAGAATTGGAAATCACATGCTGATTTCTGGCATTAAAGAGAAATAAGCACTGTTGGGATTTTAAGCCTTATTTCTCAAGTAACTTGGTTATTACTAGTTAGAAACTTCTCCAGTTCTTGCATTGTGAGGTGTGAAACCATTGTAGTTTGGTTTGGTTCTGTTTCATTTCTACTTCGCAATGTTAGCTTTATATCTGTTCCATGATGATCCTACACAATATGAAGACAGTGCACTGACTTCTACTTCCATACTTGATAGCTGACAGGGAATCTCTTTTTTCCTCAGAACGCTATAAACGCTTTGTGGTATTTGTTTAGCTTCTAAGTCTATTTTTTTTTTCCCATTCTCTGTGCTTTTAGTCTTTTTTGATTGTGCTTTTCTTGGTCTTCCTTTGGCAGTTTCTAATTAGTTCTTTAGTGCCCTCCAAGTACTTCAGTACATCTGTCTCTAAACAGTGTAAAAACAGTCAAGAATTTTATTTCAAAACACTGCACTGGGTCAGAAGTCTGTCCTTATTTATCCTAACTAACTAGCTCTCAGGAAACGAAGTTTTAGGTTGAATTTACATTTGAGCATAAAGAACACTTGTAGGTAGAACCTGCCATTAAGCAGAGTGGAATTTGTAAGTATGAAATGACTTGCCTTACTTGCCTTCAGCTCTAGTCAAAAATTATTTTTTTCTGGGGAGGTATTATAAAAATATTCTTTCAATAGCCTAGCCACTTTTTTCAACTTCAGTGACAGTGCTTTTCTGCTTTCTGTTGCATGGAAGAGATGTGTTCTGTGGTTACTATCTCAAACTGAGCAATGGGAGTTTCGAATTTCCTGCTTGCTAGACTGCATTGCTGCTTGGCTGTTGCAGCTTGCTTTGCAAAGGAAAAGAGTAAACCGCTGTTAGCGATTGAGCATCTATATTTTATTTTAGCCTGAGAGCCAAGGTGTTAATGTAGAAAAAGAACACGAGGCAGGTCATGTTGCAGTCGTGATCTGCATTAAGTGAAGTGTGTATGTGTGTGTACTGCTTCCAATTTCTGTGAATCAAAGCTGTGTACTGAAATAAAATAAAGAACTTGGACTCATCTCCCAGCTCTTTCCTCCTGATGTAGAGCATAAGAGGCACAGGCAAGATGCACCCTGTGGACTTGACATCACTTTTTAGATGTGAAACTGCCGAAACTTTTAATTATTAACTTTGAAAATGCAATAAAAGAACTCCCACACAAACACAGTCTAGCAAGATTATAAATCTAAATGCATTTCAAGACCTATTTTTTCCCTTGTGGTTAAAGTCCTTGCCAAGAGTTAGCCATTTTTTCTTTATGCACTATGATAGATTCATTCTGTGTTTAATTGAAACTTACAATGGAAGTACTGCTTAAATTTCTAATGTTACTGACAGCAAAAACTATTGTAGCATTGTGCAAAAAATACTGCAGTTCTGTTATTCAAATTCCTCCAATTTTTTTGTAATAAAAGGGTATTTTTTTCATGGGAGAAACCAGTCTCCTCATTAACTATTCTCTAGTTGCCATTTTGAGGTGACTTGATGTTGAGTGGTAGGGAAGGTGTAGTGGCTACCAAGTGCAGTAAGGTTGTCAGTATGCAGAAGCGTGGTATTGTGCTTCTGAACACAAGCTGCACTTTGTGGATTTAGCTGTGCCTTAGCCCTGACAAGTTTGGCCATTGTCACTGATGCTCAGTGTGGTGATGTTCACTTTGATATTGTGAGTTTGGAGCAGAACTGTTATTTCATTCATCCCTTCGAGAAACCTTTCCATGAAGCTATTTCACTTAACATATCTAAGCCTTCTTTCTTCTCAGGGAAGTAAGGAAACAACTTTTTTTTTTTTTTTTTTTTTTAGAACCATCTAAAGGGCCAACCGTATGGAGGACCATTGATGCATCTCCCTCACCAGCTTTTTGGACTGTACGACTGATGTGGAAGGTAAAACAATGTGCTAAACTGCAGAAATTGAATATTATTTTTAAAATGATTTTATGTGGAAACTTACCTCAACAGATTTAGTAGATATCTGGGATTGAACAGTTATCGATACAAGAAATAACTGAATTTTTTCATAACTTCTTAATCTAGTAAGTATGCTGAAAGTAAGATTTTAAGGCTTGTGAGTAATCCAGAATCCACTTCAAGATTTCCCTCTTGCTGTCTTCATAGGCAGTGTGTGGAATTGGAAACTCCCTTGCACATAGTAAAGTTTGACATTCCACCTTCTGATCTATCATACAGGAATCCTTCAGCTGCAAAATCCATTAAGCCTAGAGATATTCCAGAGACCAGACTTATTAAATATAGCTCTGTGTGTTTGCATAGAGTAGGCTACGGATTAGTCCAAGCTGTGAAAGTGAATGCAATGATCAGTCCCCATCTCCTGCTTTCTTCTGGTTTCTGAGCTTTGTTATATTTGATCTAGCTTTCTTTTATTAGTGTTTTTCTCTTAATAGATGCCTTAGGTGAACTTCCCTGTATGTGGATCCTTTTCTGATTTAACTTGTATGTGACATGCCACTCTGACATTATTAATTAGCTTAGAATTGGAAAGCTGGTGTTACTTAAGTTCACCCTGTCTAACCATTTTCTCAATGTCCACTGATAGTTAATATTGTTATAGATAATACAGACGCAAATATTTTTCTACTTATAATAAAGTTGCTCATTCTGTTTTGCATTTAAGGTCAACCCAATCTATAAAATGAAATTCTTTTGATGTCATTGTGTTGTGAAGTTGTAGAAAATGTAGTTTTTTTCCACACAGCGTCAGAAATCTTGACAGAGGTGTTTTTGTTAGACAGCTGGGTAGGATTATGAGTCAAGTGAGAAGATTTAAACAAGAAATAGTTCTAGAGAGTACTGTTTTACAGAAATGAACTCTAAACCCATTTGCAATTCTCTTAATCATGTAACTTATATACAGGTCTTTCTCTCAGTTCTAAACCATTAAACTATGCTTCGAAGCTAATAAAGGTTGTCACATTTGTTCAGTATTGATATAACAAAAAAATGTATTTTTGACAGGCACTAGAGCCATTTGAAGCCAATGGAGTGATCTTGCAGTATGAAGTGACTGTCAGAGCTAAACCACCCCTCTCCCATCCGCCATGGAGGTACAACGTTACTACCACAAGCCTTACATTAAAGCTGCCAAATGGAACTTATGAAGTGACTCTGATTGCACATAACAGAGTTGGGGCATCCCCTCCATCAGTTCTGCTTATTCCATCAAGTAATTCAAAAGGTTAGTGTTACAGTAACTTCTCTAACATTCAAATGCATAGAATAATAGAATCTCTGTGTCTTCCCTGAAAAAAAATGTTCAGTGTTGTAAAATTATACCTTTTACATTAACATAGAGTTGTAATACTGTTAAATGCATGTGCGCTCTTTACTCCTTCTAATTACGCTGCAATTTGAACACGGGCTGTTCTGAAAGTAATGCCTCCTTTTTTAGAGTGTTGGTCTGTGACATCAGAGACATGTTGGTGGATGGGGCAGAAGTAGAAGTTGAACCTTCCAATATTCCTTTACATTTCATTGTTGCGTGACTGGTGGCAGCAGAAGGAAGGTCTGACAAACTGGAATGTGACATGGAAGTGCTTATGAAGCAAAGATGTGTCATTTAATTCTTCCAGCACAGCTAATGGTGGTAACTGTGTTCAAAAACAGTGTTTTGTAGCTATTTGCTCTACCAAATAATGTTATTGTCCTCTTTGTAAATGTTGTGGTTTCCTTGGGAATAAATAATAGAATCATAAAATCACCGAGGTTGGAAAAGACATCCAAGAGCATCCAGTCCAACCATCCACCTATCACCAGTATTTTCCACTAAACCAGGTCCTTCAGTACGACATCCAGATGTTTCTTGATCACCTCCAGGTGCAGTGACTCCACCACTTCCCTGGGCAGCCTGTTCCAGCACCTGACCACTCTCTAGGAGGAAAAAATATTTCTTAACATTCAACCTGAGTCTCCTGTGGTGCAACTTGAGGCCATTCCCTCTAGTCTTATCGCTAGCTATGTGGGAGAAGAGGCCAATCTTCACCTCACCACAACCTCCTTTCAGATAGTTATAGAAAGCAATAAGGTTACCTCTGAGCCTTGTCTTCTCCAGACTAAACAATTCCAGCTCCTTCAAATGCTTCTCATAAGACTTGTGCTTCTGACCCCTCACCAGCTTCATTGCCCTTCTCTGAACATGCTCTGGGGTCTTAATGTCTTTGTTATAGTGAGGGGCCCAAAACTGAATGCAATACTTGAGGTGCAGCCTCACCATGGCTGAGTACAGGTGGATGATCACTTCCCTGTTCCTGCTGGCAGCACTATTTCTGATGCAGGCCTTGATGCCTTTGGCCTTCTTGGCCACCTGGGCACACTGCTAGCTCATGTTCAGCCAAGCATTGACCTAAACCCTCATGTCCATTTCCTCTTCCAGCCACTCTGCCTCAAGCCTGTAGCGGTGCCTGGGGTTGTTGTGACCAAAGTGCAGGACCCAGCACTTGGTCTTGTTGAACTTCATCCCATTGGCCTCAGCCCAGCTATCCAGCCTGTCCAGCTTTCTCTCTAGGGGTGTCCTACTCCCAGGCAGGTTGATGTTTCCTGCTAACTTAGTGTCATTTGCAAGTTTACTGAGGGTGCACTCAGTGCCTTCATCCAGGTCGTCAGTAAATATATTAGAGAACAGGCCCCAGTGCTTACTCCAGGGGAGCACTGCTCATGAGCAGTTGCCAGCTGGTTGTAGTTTCATTCATCACTTCTCGGCCTGGCCTTCCAGCCAGTTTGTTACACAGCAACGAATGTACCTGTCCAAGCCACAGGCTGCCAGCTTCTCCAGGAGAGTATTGTGGGAGACAGTGTCAAAAGCTTTGCTGAAGCCTAGGTGGACTACATCAACAGCCTTTCCCTCATCTTCCAGGTGAGTCATCAAAGGAAGTCAGGTTGGTCAAGGAAGACCTGCATTTCATGAACCCATTCTGGCTAGATCTGATTTCCTGGCTGGCCCTCACATGCCATGTGATCTCCCTCAAAATGATCTGCTCTATAACTTTTCTTGGCGCTGAGTTCAGGCTGACAGTGGTTCCCTAGATCCTCTTTATGACCCTGCAGGTAGATGAGATTCTAGCAGGGTATCTCCCTTAGTAGGCTCTCCTACCAGCTGCATCAGGAAGTTTGTCTACTGCACGATGGGTTTCAGCTCTTCCTGTTTGTTGCCCATGCTGTGTGCATTAGTGTAGATGCACTTCAGCTGAGCTGCCTGTCTCAACTCCAGTCCCATAGTCTTTCCCCTAGGCTCATTTCTAGCAGGCCTGGTTTTATCCTTCCTCTTCTCTCTTCTTACAAGCTGTGCCAGCTCCTGGGATAGGATCCTGCTCCCCATTTGAGACAGGTGAGACCCATCAGCAGCCACCAGGCCAGGTGCTGAGTAAACCACCCCCTGGTCAAAAAAGATGAAATTCTTGTTTGCACCAGCCTTGCAGCCACGTGTTTATGAGATTGGCTTTCCTTCTTCATTAAGTATCATTCACTGCCACTGAAGGGACAGAGGGAACTATAACTTGTACACCCACTCCATCCACTAACTGCCCCAGTCCCCTTTTAGATAATCCTCAAGCTTCTCTCAGCAGCTTAAAAAAACTCCAAAAATAGGAGGCATTACTTTTGGAGCAACTTACACATACCAGAATTCATGACTATTTTATGCATTCATGAATTAATTGCAAGATGTGTGTGTTATTTTACTGTTCTTTGTGGTCCACAGAGCAACTGTGCACTGTATTTTTTATTTCTTCTAGAATAGCAGACATTTCTGTTTTCTAAAAATAAAATATTTGGGGAAGCAAGTGTCATCTACTCTGTGTATATTCAGTTTAGCTATTGTTCTTCTTCCTTCTGCTTTGTGGTATTCCTCCCACTCACCTCCCCTTTCTGATCCTGTCCTTGTCTTACCCTCTGGTGTTTCCTGTATCTTGTGAAATGGTGGAAGCAGACAACTCTGTTCGTTTTCCTTTTTATCGTGTTCCTTTTATTGCACACTGGTAGTAGTAAATGTAGGCTGGTTTCTTCTTACTGCCCTCATCTGCTGAATCTAGCCTCTTACACTCTTACACAATCCAAGAATGGGGAGCATAGGTAACAAAAATTAAATCATCAGTGGGTCTGATACTTGGTGCATAAACACTAGGGGAGAGCCACAGATTCTAAAACTACTAAATGACCCAACTAAAGATATGCTTCAACATAGTAGTATTGCAGCTGGAAGGACTTCATAAGTTACAAGAGTATATTGAGGATTGGAATGGGAATTTAGAAGGTCTGCAGATTTGATTTTACTGTGAAACAGACCCTTTAGTTTGGAAGAAATGTTGTAACTCTTTATTGTGCAATAAGACAACTTACTATATAAAAGAAAAAGTGTGTCTAATTTACAGTTGTTGAATAGTGTTGTTTGTCTCTCTGATACAAATTCAAATGTAACCTTCTAAATTTCAGCAAATGATAACATTTTGTTAGGTTCTGTCAAGTTGTCACCATTACAATAATCAAAAGTATCTTCATTTGACAAGACAGCTGCTGTTTTGACTATCTAGTGGAAGAAATGTCAATATTTAGTACTTTTCTATTTTCTTTCATTTCAGCTCCTGTGAGGAATATTAGAACACTACCTAAAGATGGCAAATTGTGGGTAGGATGGACTGCTCCTAATAATGTTCTTAAATACGTAATTGAATGGAGTCTGATGTCTAACAGCTCAGGCGGCATCACAGAATGGCAGGTAGAACCAGGAAACATTCAAGGAACATACTTAAAAGGTACTTGTCTTACAAGTTTGCAAATATCTTGTAGAACACTAAGAATCTAGTGAATATTCTCAAAGCTAAGAATATATTTATGGTAACTAGGTTTCTCTTTAAAGGATGGGAATCTGGAGTAATGCAGGGACTAGTCTTAGCTTATCACAAGTATATGGGAATACCTATATTTTTGCCAAATCAACTCATTTTTACATTTTGAAATAAGTTCATGTTAAACTAAAAAAAGTCTTACCTGCGTTTTGCTTTTAATCTCTTCATTCTTGGGAGCGACTGAAATCATAAAAAGGATGAGGTCCTTCCATATCAAATTGTCATGCATCTTTAGGACAAACAGTGAAACTCAGTCAACTTTACTGTTCAGACGGTAATCAGTGGCTCACATCTATAATTATGTGTTTCAGTGTTGTAGGCAGTCAAAGTCTTAATTAGAATGAATTAGGAAAACAGCCAGAAATCTCTGAAGTCTGCTTATACTTTAATGAATCACTTTTTCTCTTAGTTATTTCTTTGGAGCAATATGTAAATGAGCTCTAGAATAACAATCTACTGCATTAGTTATAAGAGCATTTAACAAAACAGACAAGGCTTGGGACCCTGCATCTAAGGTAAATGGCATAGACAGTGAGAAATTTAACTCTCTGACACAACTTATCTTAAAATTCCTTTTATTAGGTGACATTAAGCCATTCAAGTGTTACTTGATAACTGTGTACCCTCTGTATGCTGATGGCCAGGGAAGTGGACAGTCTGTGAAGGCTTACCTTCAGCAGGATCGTGAGTACAGAAGTCACCCTGGAGCATTCACTGACATCTTGGCTAAAATAGTGAAACTTTTGCTTTCATGCATAATTGACAGTGGCTCTACACATAAGGGCCATCTGACATAAATTTTTTTTCCTCTATTTTAACATCCATTCTGCTAGTATACAGTATTTAATTAAATAGATGGCTTTGTATGAGTTACCCTTTTCCAGCACAGGATTTTGTTACTTTATCAACATAATATTAGTTCTTTGATTTATTTGAGATTCCAAATATGAAGTCAGGAGTAATTGACTTCAGTGGAAGACTTCGAGTGCTGGTTACTTTTTCATGCATTTTTCTAGATATTCCTTTTAAAGCTTCTTTGAAATTGCTATATTGCCTGAAAATAATGTTGTGTTAAAATAATGCTTTATAGATAAGTTAGCCCAGCTATTCTATTGAAGCTTTTATGAAATAGCAATCCAGTTCTCATTAATGCACTACTTTTATGGATGGGAGGATATGCAATAGAAAATAATGTTCATCTGCCATTACAGGTCCTTCAAAAGGACCAACTGTTCAGACAAAAAAAGTAGGAAAAGCTGAAGCTGTTTTGACATGGAACCATCTCACAGTAGATGAGCAAAATGGATTCATCAGAAGTTACACAATACTGTACAAAACTGTCGATGGAAATGAAACAGGTAACAGAAGGCAGAGACATGCTTTGTGGTGTTGAAGTACTCAGTCTGTTTCCTTCCTAATACATGTTCCTGGAAAAAAAGAAACAGCCTCAAGTATGTTTGTCAGTCTTATGCTGATGTTAGAGGTGTAGCTCTCCCATGCAGTCAACAGAAGAAAGTTACCAATAAAGAATTAAGAACGTGCAGTCTTTGTATAACTGGCTACTGAGTTTGGTTTCTGAAGGCTGATTGGCAGTTATTGTAGTCCATCTGTCTGTCTAAATACAGAACAAGGAGGCTATGTAACAAGATGGGCACAAGCTGGAACACAGGAGGTTCTGACTAACCATCAGGAGACCCTGCCAACCTCAACCATTCTGAGACTGAAGATGAAGCTAGACCATTCAGTCTGCGAAGGATTAGTTATTTATTTATTTAAAACTGTGTTTTTGCTTGAAGTGCATTTTCATTCTTCATAGTCTCTATGAGCACCAGACAAAGACAGGGAGATGACACTGCAGAAAGGTGGGGTTTTTTAGATCTACATAAGCTGGAAGAACAATTTACTTCTCATTATCCACTAGATTTTTTTTCTAGCTAACTGTGTATTTTGCATATTAGAGGCCTTTAAGCTTCAGTTTTACTTTCAGTTTGGTTCCTGAAAAAATAGCAAATTGACAAATGAATTATCACAAAGAAGGAATAAATTCAAACATGAACAGAAACAAATTAACCTCAGCATTCATTGTACACATTTGTAATCTTTCTGTGACGGTTGTTTTCCGTGCAGCCACACGTTGCACAGAAACTGTTGTTTCTTAAGATGTAATGTCTTAATGCCTTTGTGTTTATGGAAATCTAGTAAACCATACTGAAAACTAGTATATTTTTCTTCTCTTCAGCTGTGTCAGTGGATCCATCCAAGACAGAGTATACCCTCTCTTCTCTAACCAGTGACACACTGTATACTGTGCGGATGATGGCATACACAGATGAAGGAGGCAGAAGTGGTCCTGATTTTACTTTTACTACACAGAAATTTGGTAAGGAAGAATTGGGAAAAATCAACAGAAGTCGGAATTGATGTTGCAACAGTATAGCAGGGCTCAATTTCTAATATGATAGGAGAGGAAGATGATTTAAAAAAAAAAAAGTATTTCAGTTGTTCATCATACTCACAAAGTGCAAGAAACTGTCTAACATTCAAGCACAAAAGGATATTTGACTTTTTTTATTATTTGAATTTGGTTACAATTCCTTTGGGCTGTGTCTTCTGCATGTTTTCTGAATTTTCCTCATGTGGCAAACATGCTGGCTTGAGATATGCTTCTTGTGTATTGCTTAGAGTACAGTGAATGGCCTGCTTTGTGTGAGTAATTAGAATTTTCTCAATGTCACTGTATCCTTATCCTTATTGGATGGCTCCTATTCTTGTCTCAAAGACATTGTCTAGAATCTTTATTTTAATCTGAATGTAGGTTGCCTTCATTTGCTTTATTGGGGTGCTCTGCTAAGTTGCAGGTTTGGGCTGGGAATCTCAACCTGTTGATGTGGATGCCTGTCAGCACATGCCATTATTTACAACTCTTATTCGGCTTCGACATTCCTATTTTAATGGCAGTTAGTTTGTTACAGTTCTCTACAGAAACTCATTATGAAGAGTCAAACTTGTATGTGCAGATTTACAGAGCTTTCTGTTTGTAATGGTAAGAGCAGCAACATTAGCTGTTGTTTTTTTTTTTTTCAGGATAGTGTTGCTCTTTCCTAAGCATTCTATAAGGTTTACTTATAAAATATATGCATCATTTGGGAAGGGATACATGCCAACAATGCAGTTTTAAGTGTTTATAGGTAAAGGATGTTTTGATGTACAGAATAAACTGATAATTTACATTAGTTATTTGGTCATGATAATGATACGGCAAATGGTAGGGTCTCTGAAACTGGACCACGGATGCATTCACTTAGAAATTGTATCTGCCTAAATTATAAAAATCATTTGTAACATTACAGCTTCTAGAGCAATCTGTGGTTTTTATTGATGCAAGGCATTAGATTATTTGAACTGAGCTTTTCTTAAGTTTAAAAACAAGGATTTTTTCAGAGGTAAGAGATTCTTCTGAAGCTGAATCTTGTGGCTATGCTATGTGTTTGGTTTCAGATTGTCCCTGCCTGTAAGGAACTGTGTGCTGCTGCTGATTTTCTTTTATGCCAAAAAGGGCTGTAAATGCTTTGTGTTTTTTTTTCTCAGGGAGAGGAGAAATTGAAGCCATAGTTGTACCTGTGTGTCTAGCATTCCTGTTGATTGTACTCCTTGGAGTTTTGTTTTGCTTCAACAAACGTGACTTGTAAGTGTAAAAGAAGCCTTTCTTTCCTCTTCTTGGTATGTCTTGGTGTAACATGAGATATGGCAATAATTCATTATGAACATGTAAGTGTTCTACAGCTAGTTTAGAAGAAAAAAGTAAAACATATTATTAATAAACATCTTTGTATTTTTCTTGAAAAATCAAGGGCTTTTCTGTACTGATTTTGTTTATTACTGAGAATCATTATCACTGAAACAATGTCCCACAGATCAATCTTCAAGAGAATTTCGTGCTAGTCTTGGTTAGGGTTAGGTTTGTTAGGTTTTTATTAGGATATACCATCTGTGTTGTTTTGTAAGTCAGCAGATGGGACTAAAATGGTGGCTTTCATTTCATAAAGTACAGAATATTCTGTTTAACTATATTCAAGCTATTTAGTGTTAGCAAACTTTGAGTTTACTCAGTTCTTATTTAGTATGTAGTGGCATATATCGTGTCCTCTTCCAGCTCATTTTACCTCAGAGTTCTTCTCTGTGGCTTTATCTGAGAGCTGAAGTGTTTTCCCTGAGAAAGAGCATCTCTTACATGTCCCCAGTCAACTAACATTTCTTTCTGATTTAAAAAAAACTATTTGTCCTCCTCATTCTGACATCCCTGCTGCTTCTAAAATCAATTCTTAATGGACTGTAGTTGAAAAAGCCATCTTGGAACATGTCCAAATTTTGTTTTTAGTTGTGAAGTTTGCTGTGATATTCATAGTTACCTCAGAATAATGGAAGTGTATGCTTATACCAACGTAGGTAATATTTTCTAACTAAATATTTGCTCATCCACATAGCAATAGATTATCCACATAGGAATTAAGAAGTGCATCTTTTAATCTTGTTTTTAATCTTCTGCAGAATTAAAAAGCATATCTGGCCTAACGTCCCTGATCCATCCAAGAGTAACATTGCTCAGTGGTCCCCACAAGTTCCAGCTAAGGTAATACTCATTTTTCTGCATCCTTAATTTTCCTGATATAGAAGACCTCAAACGAATCAGAGGGAGTCTTCTCCCTGCTGAAATACACAGAATTATGAGTTCAAAATAAGACTCGGTGTAAGTTTCACAACATTATTATATGATACGGCTAGAAGACTTAATTGTCATGTAGGTCCAGTGTTAGAAATACATGATCCTTAGCACAAGTTCACAGCATAGAGCTTGAATTTACTAGTTTGGAGGGCCAAGCCCCGATTATTATACTCATTAATGGGAACACAGTACTAATTAAACATCTTATGATTCTTAACACTTTGTACAGTTAAGTGTGAAAGAGAGGGAGATCTAAAATACGGATGCTAAGTGTGGCAGAAAAATCTGTGCCCTGTGTGGGATGGATGACAAGAAATTCTGTTCAGTAAACTGTGTCTAACATCTTCTTAAGCTCTGATTTTGAACATGCTATTGAGAGTATGTGTGCATGGCCTCTGTACAGAATGGTCCATACTGCGTAGTGAATGGTTTTCTGTTTACAGTTCTTCAGAACAATTAAAAACTAGAGCAAAGCTTGCACATCCAGTTGCAGTGCTTAGAGTGCTTACGGAATTATGAATATAAAACAACATCTTTCATTCTGTAACAGATAGTTGGAGGGCATTGCCACGCTCAATAAGGAGGCAAACTGTATAAAGAATGTAGGAGTTACTACAGAAAAGGAAATAAGTTATTAAATATTTTGCTTGTTTTCAACTTAAATAACCTTCCTCTTAGGCAACATCCTTCTCTTTCTTTCAGCACAACTTTAGTTCTAAAGATCAGATGTACCCAGAAGGCAGTTTCACAGATGTGAGCGTCGTAGAAATAGAAGCTGATGACAAGAAGTCTTTTTCAGAACAAGATCTAAAACCTTTTGATTTGCTCAAAAAGGAAAAAAGTACTTCAGAAGGGCACAGCAGTGGTATTGGAGGATCCTCGTGCATGTCTTCTCCTAGGCAAAGTGTCTCTGATAGTGATGAAGGTGAAACTACACAAAACACTTCAAGCACTGTGCAGTATTCAACTGTAGTACTTAATGGCTACAGAGATCAAACACCTGTACAAGTCTTTTCAAGGTCTGAATCTACTCAGCCTCTGCTAGATTCAGAAGAGAGATTAGAGGATCATGCTGGAGGGAGTGACGGTATGCCACAAAGGCAGCAGTATTTCAAACAGAATTGTGGTCAGGATGAAACCAAGACAGACAGGCCATTCTTGGAAAGAGCAAAGCAGATTATTTCTGCTAATGAGGAGGATCTCGCTGGGTTTGCACAACTGCAGATCTCAGGTCAGAGATCTCTAGGCTTTGATCTGGAAGAAGATACACAGGAAGCTGCTCTGCCAGATGTTTTGCAGACAAGTACTGAAGGACAAACTGTGAGACCTGAAACAGTGGAGGGAAACATACCATCAGTTGATGAAATGCCAAAAAGTTACCTCCCGCAGACTGTGAGACAAGGGGGTTATATGCCTCAGTGAGAGAAGAGACTGGCTATATTAGGCCTTCATTAGTGCCCGTTCACATTTTTTTTCCTGTGTTTCTGATAAATTAAGCTAGGTATTTTTATCTGAATGCAGATAGAAATATTGAAATTAGGTGAAGAATAATTTGACAAAGTACAATAAGGACTATGTTTCCGTGGAAAATCTGCAGTCCAGACCTACTGGAGACTTACTTTTATGCACTACATGAAATCATATTTGTCTGAAAAGCTGAACAAGCCTATGTGCTACCTTGCTTTTTGTCTTGTCATATCCGATTTACGTATGATTGAAAATAGCAAGTTTCAGTTAATCACATTGGCCAACAGACCTCCTAGAAGAAATACTTTGATTTGTGACAGTGTACAAGCCTAAAAAGCCAGCTTTGGTTGCTTGGAGCATCTTTGTGCAAAAATGAGACTGAAGTTCAGTATTCTAAAGCATAAAAATACTGTATCATACACTTTTCAACAGCTTGATTAACCTTCTGAATTTTGACTTGGCCCAGTGTCACAGTTTCAGACTTATCAAACTCAAGTGTGCAAGTCATGCATCCCCATTTAAAACCTACATAGAAGTTGTGATGGTGTGCAGGTAAAAAATGCTATGATTGCTTGACTCTGAGTGCTACTATAGTCACTGATACTCCTTCTGTATTTAGATATGCTTGCACATGAAGTATATAATAATTTGGCCTAAAAGTGTGCCTTGCTATTGGATGCACAACAGTTCAGCCTTTGTGTTTAAATGTTAAATCCAGATGAAAACGCAGACGAGGAATCAGTCAAAGATTTTTGAGCCCCAGTCACTTCCTGATGACACTGCATCTCTCCAGTCATGTTAATTGCCTTTGTACAATATGTGCCCCCTTGGCAGCGTACTGCTTGAGAGATAAATAATGGGCTGACGGATTTCACAGTCCCTATAACTGCTCAGGAGAAGGATCTTCTTCCTGATTGACTATGAAGATTAATACTACAGGACTTCCTTGAAACAGAACATAGCAAAAACCAAAGCGCTCAAGTCATTGAATGCTCAGGGGGAGAAAGGAAAAAAAAAAAAAAGCAACTACCCTGAAATTGACAGTTACTGACAATATGAATCTGTTATCCAGCATAATCCACAGATAATATCTGTGGCTGCTAAAACTCCTCGTGTCTCAGTTCAGCCCTGTTCAGATGGTCTGTGCTTTATTACAGGTACATACAATTGCATTAATATAGCCCTCTTCCCTAATGATGGAATTTTACGACACTCTTGTAGATGTTTTTCTTAACTTAGTCTAGTCAGCTTTTCTAACTTGACACTAATGACCTTCATTCAAAACACTACATGCTGTTCTGTGAGAATACAAAGAGAGTTTTAATTCTCCTTCAGCAGAAGGGAGACCTCCAGAACCTTTCAGTGCTGTGATACATGGTGCTGCTGTCCTGCAGAGCACTTGCTAAAGGCCTTTGAAGAACAGATGGAAGTATGATGTTCACCTCTCATGCTTTTGTTTCAAGGAAACAGTGCTAGTGTGAATTCAGAATATGCTATTTGGACTACTCAAAACAGAATTCTTAAACTTCAATAACATTCAACATTCTGCAGTTCCTTTCTGCTTACAGTATTTTTCATGTATGGGCACTTTTTTTAAACTAAAATGTGATGTTGCAGGTTACTGTAACTGTACTTTTCTTCAGAACAGATCACCTTCCTTCCTCCCTATGCCACCTCAGCACATTCAGCCTCTTCTTGCAGCTGTCATGAGGCAGAGGAGGATGTGTCTGATTTTTCAAAGGCTGGAGGAGCATTCTTGTTGTCAGAATTTCCTCTTGGAAAATGGCAGCAGTGAGTTTGTGCATGGATGGATGTGTCTTCTTCAGTCAAACTTCATTGTGGCCATGGAAACCATGAGTAAAAGGGAAAGTCAGTGTGCATGCTTACTCAAAGTGCCCTACAGCCACATGCTGTCTCATTCACCTTCTGCTGATCTCTGAAATGTTTTGGGCTGCGATTTTTATGGCCACAGTCTGGCTGCTTAGCTTGAATGAGTGTTGCTTTAAACATGCTGTCTTTCATCTGTGATCCAGCAATACTAACTTTTAGTAACATATGTTATATCTGAGAGACCACTTCAGTTGTTCCTAAAGTTAGTGTTCTCTTTCTGTCATGTAGAGGGAAAGCATTTTGTTCTCAGTTGCTGTTAACCATGAACCATTTCCAAAGTAAGTTAAATTTTGAAGTGATTCCCTCTTTTTGGGGGGTCAGTGGTAATGAACTCACATAGTTGTGCAGAATATCCTGGCATGGGTTCTGTGTGGCAGATTCACTTTCTCTCTTTCTATCTCATGCATGCATCTAGGAATAAAATTGCGAAGACGAAGCAGGAGATACTTGTGGGTGAACAGCTTACAGAAGCCACAGAAAGTCTGAGTAACAGGTTTGCTTACAACTTCATAAACCTTTGTGCCAAAGTGCTGTGTTGTACAGCGTTTGGGTTTAACTTGGTTTTGTACTTAGTATGCATTACAGCAACAGAGCTGTATCTAAGAGTTGCACGCAGGTTTTAGAGTGTACGTAATGCATTTTACCAAGCCACTAGGTTCACATTCACATTCACATTCAGAGAATTTGGCCTCAACATGATAACTAAAGGAAAAGCTTTTTTCTCTTTTAATAACTATGGTGCACTTTACTAAATAAAAGCATTAATAAAATAAAATTATACTTTACTATTGACACTTTAGTGCCCATTTTGATTACCCAGACTGGAATTTTTCAAGTAGGGATGGGATAATGGGTGAGAAAAGCATTCTACTTCCCTTCTACAGCAGGTAGGCGTGGTGAATAAGGAAATGTTTCTCCTGTATAATCACACTTGGAGCTGCTTTCAGGCACAGACTAACTCTTCCTCTGTTTGCAAGAAAAGTACTTACGTTATTTCTGTAGCGATGATCAGTGTGCTCTGTTAGAACAGGAGGTTGGTGGGGTTGATGCTGTGGCTGTGTTGGCTTGTTTCCATGGCACTTAGCATGGGAATAACTTCTGTTGCAGTGAAAAAGTCTTGGGGTTGTGTTTCTGCTTACTGTTTTAAGCTAAACTACCTGCTAAGCATCAGGCTAACAAGGGCGAAGGACAGCAGAGCAGAAATGTTCTTAAGTTAGCTTAGGATTATCTGTGTGACAGCAGCCCAGCCAAGTGATAATTTATCCAGATTTGCAGAAACTTTGGCCATATCACTGGGGCGCAGGGCCAAGCGTCCCCGTGGCAGCCCCTTGCTCGCAAGGGCTGTTGTGGTTCTCAACACTGGGAGAGCCCCTATGCCTGCCCCAGGGTTTGGCAGCTTAGGCTTTGACTGTAAATTGCGAGCACCACCAGATGGCTGTGTGAGCACACTGAGGGAGTGTGGGAGTCGTGCTGCTTTAACTTAGGTAACATATCTAATTAATGCCAGGTCTTAAATATCTAAGACTCATATACGCTGCTATCCTATTGACTTCACAATAGGATCTAGAAATTCAGAGCAACTCAGAACTGGTGTAGTCAGCCCCTCCAGGATGTGTATGCATTCAGTTGTGATTTATATGCATTAAAAGGGACTAAATAGACCAGTTTGTCTTCTGTGAGGCGGTTTTGTGACTGAGACTAAGAGCTACTTAGGTACATTCCTTGAAGTGCATTAAGAAGTTCCACTGATGGCTGGATCCTAAAAATTCCCTGCTTCCCTATAAATGCTGATCTCTTGGCTAGATGGATACGTACAGGCATTTTATATTCCTGTATTTGCCTTTAATGTTATTTGGAAGCAGTTTATAACAGCAGAATTATCACATCACCTGTGGCGGAGCAGCCCGCTGGCGACCACTCAGTATTGCAGGGAGCCTGGTGCAGGAGTCTGGAGCATGGCAGAATCACATACTCTCCAGCTGATCCACCAACTCCTGTTTCTCTTCCCTAAAAGTGAAAGGATTAGTTAAGATGAAGCTAGAATGTGTGTATCTGCTTTCTCTGTCGTTCCCTTCATAGCACTTGTGCAATCTGAGCCATTCATAAGACAGAGCAGTGCTGACTCTATGCGCAAGGATGCACATCAAGGCCACAGGACTTGTTGCAGACTACTCTAATGACTACGGCCAGAGCGCGGTGGAGTGGGCAATGAATAACTGACGGTGTGCAGTGAGGGGCAGGGTGTGTGTGTGCAGGGACAGCTTGGTGGTGGACACAGGCAATGACATCGTGGATGTGCTGCAGGAGCACGCCTTGGTGATCAGTGAGAAATGAGTGCGTGGCTCTGCTGGCAGTGGCCGGCTGCAGTGCAGCTTCCTTCTGCCCTGACCTGCACCAAATGCACTGCGCTTCTGGAACTGCTGACTGTGGAACCGCTCACAGCAGCCACTCTTCACAGCAAAGCACATTCATTCATGGATCCGCTTGGCTCACCGTGGCCTTTTTAACGGACTGGACTCATTCGATGTCACGCAGTGCTGGGCAGTCTGCTCCCCACGTGCTTCTTGTGGGGCAGAATGGATAAGGGTGTACTTGAGGTTATGTCACCATGTACATCTCGGTAAGCGTAGTCGTAAGACATGGGGATATTTAACAAGGAAAGTGCCTTGATGCTGAACACTTAGTGAATGTAACGTTAAATAGATTTTATTATGTACCATATGGAGTTATGGCTGCCTGAGCTACTGCTGATGTGTAACCTCTGCCAGCTTTGAGCGCATGCTGTGGCAGCCGGCTGAGCTGTGGGTGCGTGTGCTGTCGATACAGAAGTGTTTTCACAGCACCACGTCACCTTACTTCTTTTGCAAGCTGCATGTTTATTGTCATAGACGTATTGTCATAGACTGCTTTCTACAATTTACTTTTTACTGTAACGTTTGAATGTCTTTGTTACCCAGCTGAGCCTGAACGTTGCTTTTGTCTACTACATGATATTAAAAAAAAACGAACAAAATTCCAAACTCTGTCTGTCGGAGTCGCTGTCGATGTTGCGGGGCGTTCTCTCCCCTTTCCGTTCGTCCCGGGCGCGGTGCGGGCAGGGGCACTCGGCTGCCGCCGGGGCAGCGCGCCGCGTGGCAGCACCGGGCGGTTCGGGTCCCTTGGTACAGCCGTTGGTGCCGCTCCCGGCGCTGCGCTCCCTGCCCAGCCCCTCCACCGGGTGCGCGTCGCGGGGCAGCGCCGGCGGATGGGGCGGCAGCGCGACGTGCCGCGAGCCGGGGCCGCCCTCAGCCGCGTCGTTCTCCGCGTTTTGTTTTTGTTACGATCGCGCGTTCGTTTTCGTGGGGCTCAGCCGTCCCCCCGCCAGTCCTCACTCCCGCTGCGCCCGTGCCGAGAGCGCAGCGCGGCTTTCGGGCGGCCGCGCCTCCGCCTCCCCCTCCCGGCCGCGTTCGGCGCCGGAGGTAAAGCGCTTCTCACGCAGCTCTGCCGCTGAATCATCGCGCGGCGACGCCCGGGCCGAGGGATGCCGGGCCCCAGCGCGACCCGTCCGCATTCCGTGCGATCCGGAACAAACGCGCTCCCGCGGACCGGATGCAGCTTTTTTCCCCGCGCTGAGATCGAGCGCGGCAGGAAGGCACGACCGAGAGCCGCGCACCCACCGTCTCCGCGTGGTCCCGCCGGGGAGGTCTCCGACCCCGCGGCAGCGCACATCCCCGCCCCGAAAGCCACGGGCCGCGCCGTTTACTCCGTCCCAAACCCGGTGACCTCGGTCCCGAGGGAACGGCGCCGGGCGGCTGCGTCACCGGGCAGCGCCCGCCTGCGCTCCCTTCCCTGGGAAAGCCCCGCGCTCCGCGGGCGGGGGAAAAACGCTGTGAGGCGATTTTCCGCCGGTACCCGCGTCTGGAGGAAGGCTGCCACTCGAGGCAGCGCCTCTCGGGCCACAGGAGATGGAAACGAACTGGCTGACACCCTGGCGCTCATTGGTATCTGAGAAGTCATGGCAGCCCAGTGCGGTCCCTCGTGACTGGAAACATGGACACGTCACACCCATTTTTAAGAATCATAGTCACAGAATCACTCAGGTTGGAAGAGACCTTAAAGCATGACCTAGCCATACTACCCTAACAACCCTTCACAATCATGTCCCTGAGCACTACATCCAAACAGTTTTTAAACACATCCAGGGTTGGTGATTCAACCACCTCCCTGGGGAACCTATTCCAGTCCTACAACCCTTTCTGTAAATAAATTTTTCCTGATACCAACCTCAACTTCCCCTGGCACAACTTGAGGCCATTTCCCCTCATCCTGTCACCAGTGAGAAGAGTCCAGCCTTGCTCTCGCAGTAAGCACCCTTCAGATATTGGAAGAGAGCAATAAGGTCTGCCTCAGCCTCCTCTTCCCCAGACTGAACAGCCCAGTTCCTTCAGTCACTCCACATAGGGCATGTTCTCTAAGCCCTTCACCAAGCTCTCTTTGGACCTGCTCCAGCATCATATTGTCCTTTCTGTACTGAGGTGCCCAAAACTGAACACAGAAGAGATGACGCAGAGACTACCAACCTGCCTATCCTGGGCTGCATCAAAAGAAGCATGGCCAGCAGAGTGAGTGAAGTGATCCTGACCCTCTGCTTTGTGCTGGTAAGGCCTCACCTGGAGTGCATTCAGATGTGGAGTCCTCAGGATGGAAGAGACATGGATCTGCTGGAGTACATCCAGAGAAGGGCCACAAAAATGATCCAAGGGATGGAACACCTCTCCTGTGAGCACAGGCTGGGAGAGCTGCGGCTTTTCAGCCTGGAAAAGAGAAGGCTCTGGGGAGACGTGAGAGCAACCTTTCTGTATCTAAGGGGCTATAAGAAAGAATGGGACAGACCCTTTAGCAGGGCCTGTGGTGACAGGACAAGGGGAAATGGTTTCAAACGAAAAGAGGGGAGATTTAGACTGGGTATAAGGAAGATGTTTTTTACAGTAAGGGTGGTGGGGCACTGGAATGGGTTGCCCAGAGAAGTAGCAGATGCCCTGTCCTCGTGGACATTCAAGGCGAAGCTGAACAGGGCTCTGAGCAACCTGATGTAGCTGTAGGTGTCCCTGTTCATTATAGGGGAGTTGGAGGAGATTACCTTTAAAGGTCCCCTTCCAACTCAAGTGATTCTGTGATTACACAACTGGGAAAGATAGTGGCCAACTTCTCTCTTTGAAATCAGCCTGAAGGCAATGCAGAGCCAGGCAAACATGTGGAGTCATTTAAATACAAATGTCAACATAGAAACGCCCAAAGTAAACAAAAACAACCACAGTACAACTCCTTTAAAGGTAATGACACAGAGATCCATCCCCATGGATGGATCTGCCAACAGTGGGAGTTGTTCCCATGGGTGTGGGAGGAACTGAGCACTGCAGGCAGAGGCAGACACACAGCAGCAGCCCTGGGACTGCAGTGGCACAGGGGGCACACACTGGCACAGGGTAGCACACAGCAGCACAGTGCAGTTTCCAGGCGCATGGGGCATAGGCATCACCATCCCCTGCTTGAGGTGGCCCTGGCAGCACATGGGCACAGAGAACAGACTTCAGCTCAGGGCAGGAACCTGGGGAGCACATGGGCAACAAGCCTGGGGCCGAGGCACTGCACAGTCCCAGCTGGCAGGCAATGCCAGAGGGAGCAGACAGCTGGTTTTGGGGCAGCACACAGTGCAGCATAGTGGAGGTACAGCAGTAGTGGGTGCTGCCCTCCTCCTTCTTCCTTCAGAAGGGACACAGAAGGCCGCAAGTGTAGAAGGAGAGGTGAAAATGAGCACAGACTGAAGCCGTATGAGGCAATTGGCACCAAATATGATTCACAGCTTCCTGCCTCACAATGCCTGTGCAGTATGAAATCACGTTAAGATGGCACCGTGGAGAGCTTCATCAGCAGTGCAAAAGCAATTAAACCAAAAGAAAGCAAAAGGAGGGAAAAGGTGGTCCTCAAAAATGAGCAAAGCCAGCAGTGTAACAGTGAAGAACACACTGCAGACAGAAGCAAATACAGGGATCATGCTGGGAGATGTTGGCTCTCAAAAGAAAGCAATGGCCACAGAGGCTGTGGGAGGGAAGGGGTCCAAGGTGTGGGGCAGCTACAGAATGAGCTTCCTGTTAAAAAAGACACTGGACCTTTAGGGTTAATTCCTGTATTCAGAAGCTTTTTAAAACATATGTTTTCAATTAGAAAAAAAGTCAGAATCCCCAAAAGACCACGTGCAGACCCAACAGAGAAGGGCTGCACAAGGATTTGTCCCAGAGGTGTGCAGTGCTCACTTCATAGAAAAAAGGGTAAGAAGAATTGTCCAGATTTTGTCACATTATGGCAGAATTTGCTGTAGTACAATTCCGGAGCCTCTCCAGCTCCCTTTCTTCAGGCCGAAGAGTTGCTTTCAGTGACATTCCAAGTGGACAAGGCAGAGCACTAACCCTGATCTTAATCTCATGAGCTTTGTTTCTGGCATCCCTGAGTACAACTGATTAATCCCATGGTTACAAAACACAGTATTATTTCTTCATCAGAATCCAACGCACGTACAGTTTCTCGTCTAATGGAGAAAATTCTGCTGTCTGATCCTTGGCAAGGGAGTACGGCATTCTCAGGATAGCAATGGCAGATCCAGGAAATTCAGGCTGCTTTTCTGAGAAATACTCACTGCAAAGCTTCTGTTCCGTTGACTCAGTCACGGCAATCTAGAAACACACACACAAGTTGGCTCAAGAGGCTTTCAGCAGTCCGGGGCTAAGCAATGCCTGAAGAACAGGAGGAAGGCTTCCAAAAAATGTCAGTGGCGTTCATTCAAACTTGAAAGCGTTGCCTTCATTGCTCTGAGCGACTGGTTAACACTAAAGCGGTGCTTTGGAAACAAGAAGTGCCGCACTACGGCACAGCTCCTTCTCCCGTTGGGCTGGGGGATCCCACAGCTCAGCCCCACAGCTGAGAGCCCCGCGGGCAGAGAGCAGGGGATTGGCACTGCCTGCACTGCAGGGCACGGCGCCAGCGCACCGTGAGCTTCCCTAGGCTGCTCCACTGACTGCATCCCCATAACCCTTCCTAGAAGTGTGCCATCCTGGTAAGGGCTGAAGAGAGTCAAAGACACTGGATGAGCAAAGTACAGCACTAAGTAACACCTCTGCACTTACTTCTCTGGCAAGTTCTGTTTTAAACAAGTTTAGAGAATAAATCTACACCATACATACACACATCTGCTTCAGTTCATGTTTTGATATGCTATTAACAAAACTTCATTCCATGAAAGAACATTTTATTCAGATGTCTGTGCCAACTTCCAGACTGTCGCTGTTCATTCTTCTGTTCTGGTTTCAAAATAGTCAGCCAAAAATAGTTTTGAGTTAAATTAAATAGCAAGATGGCAGAAAAAATGATTGTTTACTCATGGAAAAATGACAAACAATAATCATAAGAAAGATTTTGAAAATGAAAAAAAAATTCATTACAATAATTGCGTCTTTCTCAAATACTAAAAAAGACAATTTCTTTTAAATAAGCCGTAAGACAGGCTCATCACAATAACTTATTACAACCACTGTGCTTACTCCTCTTTGCGTGTTTACTCTTTCTTGCTAAGAGGCAAAGGATAGTGCTATTAACAACTACCTGGACTTACCAGCTGTTGGTCCATAAAGCTGTGGGCTCCAGACTTAGACACCGCGAGGATGCGCCCTGCTTCCTGCTATTAACATTGACACAGAGCAGCAAAGCGAGCCCTTCGCTCTCTTTGCAGAGTACTGGAACCCAGAGCTACACAGAACGCTAGCTCCATCACACGTTTCAGCCTGTTCAAAATCAATTTTGCACAATCTTAAATCACGTATATGTTATATAAGCTCTATCTGTTAAATGTTAAGTAACATTTGGGAGAGTATCTTAGCTCAGTATTTCAGAATAGCTGCTAGCAAAGCATAAAGCTATTAAATAAATTTTCACAGATTACCTCTCACAATAACGAGTATGACATTTGCTGTTAAGGCATTGTTTTGTGCACGTGACCACTGAGATTGCTTGTTACAAAAACATCAGGATATTCAATCTTTAGCATCTTGATATCTGGGCTGGCAAGGTTAAAATGCTATGACCTAATGCTTGAAACCCTGTGGCTGTCAAAACAAAGCCCTACAGCTCAAATCTGTTAAGGGAGATTTCAAAATTAAAATCTCAGATTTCTCAGATGAATTAGAGTTTCAGGTTATCTTCTCCTGTGATATTTCTAATCGTCGGCAGCATAAGACCAGAGGATTTGGTAATGGCAAAGGCTACCAGCTGAAAGCTCGCTCTCATGACCACAGCATGCTTGCACGCACCACAGTACAAGCTGCAGACCAAACGATCCCCAGAATGTGTTCCTCCCAGCCTTTTAGAGCACCACTTTGAAATATACCCAACACAGCCAAACACCACTGCCCTAAGATCCTTATTTGCAAACATCTGCTCAGCTTAACCATGAGTCTCTATCAGCTGCAATCACCAAGCATTGAAAGTGATTATCTTACTACTGATCTTAGTAACTATCTGTATGATGGGAGCACTGGAAGATAACATCTATACTCTCACTGTAGTTCAGGACTTCAGCCTGCCTGTGCCTCAAGCTTCTCAACCACCCATACTGCTGAAGTGTTGGTCTGCACTCAGCAGAGAAGGGAACAAGCCCACTGCTTTCCCATATGGGAAGTGCAGAGGTACTGACAGAGGTGAGGAAGACAGCCTTGGACTAGGCACAGTCATCCTCCTTCCAGCACCACGTGCTCAAGTCAAGGCACGTACTGAAACAAGAAGCCACATCTGAACAGCAAAGAACAGCAGGACATCAAATACGGGAAATACACAGATTAGTATTTCAGGTTAAAGGCTGGGATCCTGGGGGCTTTTAGACAAGACTCCACGCATATTTTAGAATAAAAGATCCCAGCTTGCAATCTCATCCATTCTGATGAACAATGGGCATCAGCAATATAAATTATACAAACAGGTGCAAGTTTTGCTGCACAAACAATAGATTAATTGTGATATTTCTCTGTGTCTGGGCTCAGACACAACTACGCATGTATTTATATGTACAAAAGCAAATAATTGGACAGTTTCTCAGAGGAACTGTTATAGTTTCATAGATGACATATCTGTATAATTGCATCTCTTCTGCTGAAGCTATACTAGCTTGCAACAGCAATGAGGCCAGCTCATTGTCTCTTCCTGAAAGTCTACATCCCAAGACACTCTGCTTTTTACACACTACAAGGAAGCAAACTGTGAATGTAACATATAAGCTTTCCTTACTTGTGAACATTCAACACACTGGAAAACTGTACTGCACACAGATATGAAATAATATGCTGCCCACTGTCTATATAATTTTGTTGTCATCACCACAAGACTTCAGTGTTCTTATACGAGCTTATTCAGTAAAAACAGGCATACATGCAAAAAAGTGCAGTATCTGTCTGTATCTTCCTGTAAGGTCTGAAATGTTTACAACCATTATGGAAATAATAAAGGGAAAAAAATAAACACCCATGCCAGTAATTGCAGATGAGTTGTACCTACAGAAGAAGCCTATAATGGGACCAAATGGTGGTAAGGTCTCAGGTCCTTCCTGCCTGTCCTGAGATTACTAGCATCAACAGGGTGGGTTGTATCTAGAACACATCTTATGCTGCTAAATCTCAAAGCTGTATACAAACACAAAGCCTACAGGATTACTGTGCAAAAAATGGAACATGCAAATGGAAGCAGGATTGAAGTAACTGTACATAGGTGACATGAACCCATTTGCTGAGGCACAGGAACAGAACCTGCGAGTCCCTTACATGCACTGTGCTCAGATTCAGGCTGTGTCACATTCAATATCAAACTTGGATAGATATCAAACTTGGGTAGAAAATTCAGCTCTTCTGAACAAGTTCCCACTCATGATCAGAAGTTGGAACATCTATCTCAAGAAGTCATCAACAATCTCAAAAAGAGAAATCTGTTTATAACAGATATGCTTATATCACTTTCTAGGAATATTAAAGTATAACATAGCATTTGTAATGAAATATACACTGTGGCAAGAGAAACATTAAGTAGCCAGAGCCAGAGCAGACCATTTGCCTATGCATCCAAATCAGCTGTTCAGCAGCAACCACATCGTCTGTGGAGGTGCATCCACAGGAATGCTTCCTTCTCTCCCATGAATTCATTAATAGTGCATTTTTTTTTCTTATTTAGGGGATTTTAATGGACATTTAATGGTCATGTAGTGTGAGAATTTTGTCTGTAATTGGTTAATCTGTTAATGTCTGGGGGATTTCCATTTGTAGAATTTGAAATTCTGGGGGGCTAAATGTTAATTCTAAACAACTGAATGTTTAATTTAGCTTTTTTTTTTTTTTTTTTTTTTTTTCCCCCCCCCCCAGTTCATAATACCACAGCTTCAACTGAGAAGAACAGTTTTAAACTAGGAGAAATTAAAGGCACAGTAGCAAGAAGGTAAGAAGATATCATGCAGTAAACAGCTAAAAAAAGCAGCGCCAAAGAAGCACAAAATACAGTGAATGACTGAAAATGAGAGAAAGGGAAGGAAGCAGGAAGCCAACACAAACCTCCCTTTTCCAAAGCGCAGACAGGTCAATAGCATGTACATGACATATCCTCTTATTAAAGATATGGCAACCATGAGCCAAACTGCTGATTTGAGAGGCAGGATACACAAAGATGATTACCAACTATCTGCGAGATAGGAAAACAGTACACATAAAAACTAGATCCAAAATAAGCATGGGAAAAAAACAGTAAAGTTGTTTTACTTCATGCAACTTAAGGAAAAATTTGGGAGATGTTGGCTCTGTTCAAGTTTGTGCACATTGCCCCAGCAGTGCTCATCTATCTGAACTGGTTGCCGAGGGGGAAAGCAGCAAGCTACTTGCACGGCTTGGTGTTCTCAAAGGGAAAATCAAAACGAAGAACTAAGAAAAGCTACGTCCTTTGCCTTACTGCTGACACATTTCTGTGGTTTAAAAAAATAAAAAAATAAAAAATCCCCAGCAACTCTGAAAGTGAAGCTTCACAGGAATAAATACAGTACGTTCATTACCACACAGCTGTTGAAGGGAATAGGGTAATTTCATAGGAGGTAACCACGACCACCCAGGAAACACATACAAAAGCAGTGCTACCAGGCTGGGACTTCACAAGGAATTATTTCCTCTGCTAATGAGCGGTTGCCAGCCCAACCATGTCCAATGTTATATAGGATTGTCCTACAACATTTTGTCGAAGTCCTGGTAAAAAAGTTGCCTGGCTTTTGGGTTCATTCTTGCTGTGTTCTGAGAAATTCTCAGAAACAAGAAATTCTCTTGTTTTAACAGAATTTCTAAGGTATGGATTGAACAGGCTTTTTCCACTGAAACCTCCTCTGTTTAAAACTTCTTCATTATCATTTTCTTCATTTTTAATTGAGATCTGTTGGGAATCACATAAATCATCCTCCAGTATTTTGATGGGTTGAAGTTTCTTGGATGGTATCAAAGCTGAATGTATTTGACTTTTGAAATCTTGATCAGTGATTATGTAAGGCATGGATGGTGAAAGGTGCTTAGCAAATTCCTGTTCTTCGTTGTTGAGTATCTTTCCCTCACTATTTAGCAGAGTTAATTTGTACTCAGAGATATTCTGTGCCTCATTTGTATTAATGTCAGTACTTCCAGAAACACATTTTTCACAATCCATTAGTAGTGATCCTTCATGTTCTTCTTCAGGAAAACAATCTTCCAAAACACTGATGTTTTCCAGGCCTTTGGTTTTGTCCTCACACGCCACTCCCTTTGAAAATGAATTATTCTGTCAGTATGAAGGTATGAATTTGAAAGTTACATAGAGATAGATAAATTATCAGAAGACTATATAACATATGAAATATTGCTGGTTTAAGTGCATCCCAGCACATGCAGTTAAATGTGAATGAGTATTTAAAAAAAGACAATGTTATTCTATCCATTTGCTAAATACTTTCACTTCATGCTCTGAACGAACATACACTGTTTCCCACTCTAACCAACTAGTGTATGGACAAAATTTAAAATTCATAGATGACACTTGCTATTGAATCTTGATCGACTCCATTCAAATATAAAGTATAAAAGTATAAAAACATCAGTGAGGATATATGCAAACAATTAAAAAGATGCATTATCAATTTTGAGTATATGGTGCACTACATTTTTTGTGGAGAATGGAGGAAATATGAAGATGTGGAGATTTCAGTCAATGGTTATAGTTAGAAAACAACTGTCACAAGTGCTTGTCTTCTGCACGTTTGATCCCCTCTTTAATAAATAAAACCACATGTGTTACCACAGCTGCGTCAACAGGCCACTGCACTGCAACGCTCTCTGCAGGATTGGGGACATCAGGCCAGCAAACCTTTTTAAACCTGTCATTAAAAAGGATGTTTAGTCAATGTTGAAAAAAATAGATTTTTTTAAATCTACAGGGACTGCAGAATTAATGGTTAATGCACAGCAGTCAATTTTCTGATCATACAATACGCTAAATAATAACATCCCAAAACAAGGCCATATACAAAAACTGTTGTGGTTTTGTTTCTGGTAGTTCTTCAGAAAAAAATTCCAAATCAACTAAATTACAATCTACTGACAGTGTCCAAAGCAATATACCACACAAAAGCAACACTGAGTTCTTATTTTAACAGCAGATTTAGAACAGCTTTAAGTGAAGCAGTACCTTATAGTCCATGACAGCATGGAGTCGTAGACAAGAAAGAAAATAGTTAATTCATATTATGTTTAAGTGAATCAAAACTTGGCCAGAGCTTGACTTTTCACATCACAACTTGACCCACAGCAGAATATGAACACTAAATTACATCTCAAAGCATGGGATAAAAGTGTAGTTTCTTTCTTTTATGAAAAATCAGAATAAACAATGCAGATGAAGATGTGAAACTGCTGGAAATCGTAGTTATCACATCAGCTGTACTTATAACTACATACTATGTTTATCTATCTACCAACTTATATCTCTTTAGAAGTTTTCATATCTTAAAACCTTCCAAAAGAGTTGTTACCGTTAAGCTTATTATTAAGCTTTGTCCAAACAACCAAGTCATTCTTCAGGCTAAAGAAAAACACATTTTTAACCTTAGCAAATCCTCACAGCCATCTCTGGGATACTGTATCCCTGACTTCTGAGAAATCTGAAATCTGGCTGGGGGCTTCTCTGACAGTAGAAAAAACGAATTACAGATCATATATAAATATGGATTCAAATCCATGGATCAAGCATACAAATGCTTTCACATGATCAATTTTTTTAGTTTATTTACAGTGCAAGGAAAGTGTATATAAACTAACCAAAGTAATACTAGCATAGCTAAGCTCATGTGAGAATCCTTCTTAGTTTTTTTTTGGCTCAAAGCTTGCTTCCTGAGGTTTTTCTTGTGATAAGACTCTGAGTGACTTGTCAAGGAGGCAGCTGATGGGTGCTAACTGTGTGACAATCGATATCGCTTTGGGAACATTTGCAAGCCCCTTCCCCCAGAGCTGCTTGCTCTGTAGAAGAGCGGAAGAGAGTGCTCAGCAGTGTTCACTGGCGGAAGATCTGGCCTGTGGCCAAACCGCTCCAGCTAAGTATGGAAGGCTGGGGGATGATACCATTGTATCTTGCGAAGGCAAGATGCAAGTTGGTGCCTCCCTGCGTCCTCTTATCTGCTGGCAAGGCCAGAAAGATAAGAACAAAGGAGGTTTCTGCTGAGATCCCAGAGCCAGAAGCTGCCACCGCAAGGAGCAACCACCTTGGGTTTGAGCTGTCACTCAAAGGAGAGCTGATTCAACCACTTTGGATTTGAGCTGTCACTCCAAAAAGAGCTGACTCAACCACTCTGAAGCATTGAAAAAGGGCCATCATCACCATGGTCGTCGTCGTTGTCAACAGGACAACTCTGCCTGACGACCCACCGCTACTGAAGATCAAAGACTGAACTACGAACCTCGCTGGATCCATGGTGGTGACTATCTCCCTCTTGCTGCCTATAAAGACCCCTTGCTTCTTCTTTTCTATCCTTTCTATCGCCCTCCTTCCCTTCCCCCATTACCCTAATTCATAATAGTGTCCATTCTCCCCTTCCCCATTTCCCCTGATTTGTAATAAACTGGTTGGACCAACATTTGAACCGTTGCTTCTTAATCTCACGCCGGGTATATAGATAATAAAAGAACCTCCTCTCCCTCCTATAAATTGGAGCGAGACAGCTCAGCAATACAGCTTAAGTAAAATGTGTTTTAGTGGTGTGCTTGCAAGACATATATTGAGTGTATGGGAAGCTTTCTTAAGCATTATTATTTCAACACATGAATTAAATTATACTCTTCTCACTTGAGAGACCACAGAACTGCAACTAGCATATAACATTTTCCATAGACTGATACAGAGCACCAAATCCATCTCTCTCTCTTTTTGTTTTTTAAATGCACTTTCTGAAATTAATATTTACTTTTGGTCTATAGCATATTAACTGGTGTTACAAGATAATCTGTAAGCTCAGTTATTTGTTACTCCATCTGCCAGCTATACTTTCCTAATTTGACACTGGTATGAAAACCAACACGGAAGCATTTTGAAAATAAATAAAAACTTCCTTTTTATAATTTAAAATATATTGACTAGATTCAAATTTAGAAGACAAAAAATGTACTTACAGCTGCTTTTTCATAATGCAGGTTATCCAAAGGCCTACCAGAAACAACATGCTTAATCCAACTGGTAGAGCAATGAAAATAACATCTTCTTTATCTTTAGAGGAAAAAACAGATGGTCATCATTTCTTCCTGTATTCAACAAAACAGCTGATTTTCTACATCAAAGTCACCTGGTTAGCAGCACTGTAAAGAGCTTTGCCAAAATTAATCAAAATTACTCAGAATACTGAATAGTACCCACAGTAAAATGTGTGAAAAGTTGAGCATTTTTCCTCCAATTACTAAGACAGAAAAAGAAGAAAAAAAAAAATAGCATTACACAATAATCCAGCCTGGAGTGGACCAGCTCACCCTGTCCAACATAGAGATCAGAATCAGGTTGTTTAGTCCTGTGCGAGTGCCAACCACTGACTGCCATCCAGGATGAAAAGCCTAATACATTTCTGGGTACTTGATGTTTTCAAGTAATCTAAAACCACTGTATAGTGACACTGCCACTTGTTACTACTGGATAAATTTTACATACAGTGCCAGACATGGGTTTTAAATATGCTTAAAATACAGTTATTCTACTGACTGAAACATACTATACAGATTTCTGAGCTAGCTTCCAAGTACCTACCAGAGGCAGGTACAGACAGCAACAGAGATCAGAATTCAGCACAGCCTAACCTATCTTGCATGTGAGTGGCAAAGTAGCAGAAGAATTTAGCAGGCAGAAAATAAAATTAGCTTCACATCTCATACTGTGTTCGAAGGCAACTAATGTACTTTCTTCATATTTCAGTTCACATGTACACGCATATACGTATTTCGCTGTGACTATATGCAACTATATATACGTATACACACATGCATGTGTGGAAAACATTCCTCCAGAAGCAGAAGAGAGAAAGCATCTGATTTTCTGCTTGCAATCATCTTATTAATCCCCACAGTAAAAAAGTTACTCAGTGCATAGTCATTCTAAACCTAGTATCTTGGATGGAAATATCTACTTTCTGATCAACTGTAAGACATTCTATCCCATAACTGATGGCATAGAAATAACATGTTGATCCCACAAAAAATTATAGCATTCCACAGTTTTATTGACAGCAAAAAGAAAAACCCATGGCTTTTTGACTTGTCTCAAAGTTTAAGTCTGTAAAGATTTCCAGTGAAAGCAAGTAAAATTCAGTTCATGTCAATCATTTTTACTTGCTTTAATATCCATTTAAAAAGTTACTCTAACAAACATCTAAACAAAAAGAATCCTACATTTATTACCCCCAAAACTGCTTTCAAAATAGCAGTGACTAACCTGGAAAACTACTTACTGAATTTTAAAGTCTTGAATGTTTTTGGCTCTCCACTGGTTCCACCAGCTCTGTTGCTTGCCATGATATAGACCGTGTATTGCGTATTAGCCTGCAAAGACTTCAGCGTGTATTGTAGCACATCGGAGTTCACTGTTTCATCTTTTAAGGAAAATATTTATGTCAGTAAACACACAAAACAGCAGTTTTTTCTATTTCCATAAGCTCTGGAATCCAGGCTAAGAAATTAAAACTTTAAAACAGCTGCTAAAATTTGTGCTTCTGCAGCTCATAAAATTTGACTATATTTCTAACAACGCAGCTAGACACCAATCATCCAAAAGAATGCAATCTACTGGCCCTGGATACCACCTCCCATAAAATCAGAGGAAATTAGCAAATTTTCCATTGTCAATTACTGGAATTAATATGGGTATGTTTTACTTTAGAAGTATTTTAGACAGGGCACATATCCTAACATTTTAAGTCTACGAGCTGATAAAGAATACATTCATAACATGGAATTAAAACATTTTCTGGTGAATTTAGTCTTTGCCAGTATATTGTTACTCAGTCAAATTAAGAACCACTGGGGTAACAGATATGTTGCAATATATCCTGAGAATAAACAAAGTACGTTTCCCCTAAATGAAGATGGGGAAAATGAAGTCCTGGAGTTAAAAAGCCATCAGTGAGATCATCTTGGCACATACTCAGAGTTCTATTTTCAGATGTGACAAACAAACATGACAACAGAAAAGCCTAAAAGAAACAACATTACAGCCAGGTTTTGCCTTTCAAAATTAGCTTACATGAGCTGCTATTTAAATCTGTTTTTTTAAGAAGCTAATCTGAATCCCTAGAATAGACAAGGTCTGTTTCACATGAGAAGCTTTCCAATGCCTTACACATTTTGCTTTGGTTACGGCTGCGTGTGGGAGAATGACCCCACACAAAACATTCAGTAACTAATATGGTATAACTCATTCAGAAATTAACATGGCAAGAATAATTGTACATTGAAGGCTCAATCTGACAGAAACTGTCACAGCTTCTTTCTAATTTACAAACTGTCAAATGCTTGTGCCTTGGCTCTGAACTGGTTAACCAGAAGCAATTGAAGACATGCCAAGATTTATTAGTTTGAGGTTATTTAAAAAAATATTATGTTAGGTATCTGCTAACAGCAATGTCTGAAGCAAAGAAGGAAAAGAACTGTTTCTAAAATATTGACCGATACAACAGTACTCTTAATAAACCAAGCAGGAAGAAGAAAATTAGGTCACATAAACACTTCTCATAAAAGATTTTACAGAAATTATTGGTATAAGTCTCAAACAGAATTATATTGAAAACTTGCATGGATACTACTCGTGATACGTGAAACCAAGAATATAATCAAAAAGTTATGCTGGCAGCCTACGTTGCAGGAAAGCTGTATCAACCACAGAACATTAAGCACATTTGAAGAAATTAATCTAAAAGAATATGTCTAAAGAAAAATTTTCTTGGCAGCTTATTTTAGCTCTGTGACTATCATTTACTATTTTGCTTTTACTATAAAAATAGTTCTAATAAAAAAATTCCACCATACTGTTCCAGAAGGAATCCTTCCAAGGACGTGTATGGAACTTACAAACTCACTGAAATCTCATGAACTTTAAATCCCTGAATTTGCACAGGATCTATACCTCATTAATGTATTCCATCTGCATTTTATCTCCTCTACCAGTTGTTGTGATTTCTTTAACTGGCTTCAAATATGTCATCACAGACATTTAAAATGAAGAAAGACTACTACTTATGCAAGAGTGGAAAACTACAAGTATACAAGTATACAGCAAATAATAGTTTCTGATTTGGCATAACCTTGCAAAAATTTCATTTATTTATTTATTTATTTATTTATTTATTTATTTATTTATTTACATTATGGAGAACAAGCTGCAAAAACTCTCTAACGTATGAGCTGCTATCCATCCTGCTCTCCGAAAGAGAAAAGGAATGATAATGCTACCACACTGACCAAATCAACGCTGAGATCCATCATATTTGCATATGATGGACCCTCAATGAAGCACAAAGGACAAAGTGGTTAACACAACTGGCTGCACCACCAAGGGTAGTACATTAGCAGTAAAAAAAAAAAAAAAATTAAGTTATTAACATCAAGCAATGCTGTACAAAATAAGTTCAAAACCAATAAAGAAACAGAACAAGACTACACATGCAGTACTAAAGCCAGGAATGTTCACTAGCATACTTATTTGTTTCAGTTAAATCTAAAAATAGTAAGCTTTATGTAAGCCATATTTAATATCAGTATTTTCAGACACATTTATGACATACAAGAACAAAGTTTGCTATTAACTACAGAGAGCAGATTGTCATAACCCAGTCAAAAGCTTTGACGTTTGATGTATACTTACTCAATTCTTTTCCACCTTCAGGTTTATAAAATATTGTGTAGTTGTTGATAAAGCCATTTCTTTTATCTTTTGAAATCTCATTCCATTTTATTGTAACTTCATTTTTGCCTGGGAAACCCGTATCAGCCACAGGGCCTTCTGATGGCTCTGCATCAGAACATTGTAAATTAGAAAAAGAAGTGAGTTAGTCTACCTGTCAGCATTATCCACATGCTATTTCACTCATACCCATAACACTACCTAATGTAAATGTCTTGAGTGCTCTGATACAGCCCCTAACTTTTCCCACTCTTCCCAATGTTTACTTCTGATAATATATCCCCATGTCTATTTTGATCTTTGCACATTTCTTAGCCTTACTGCATCCATATATCTCAAGACCGCTAACAGGCTCTGTCCTCACAACATCGTAGAGAGGTAGCTCACAACTCTGAAGAAAAGTGCTCACTGTGCTTCAATTTTTACAAAACTAATGTCTCCCAACATTCAATGCTATCACAGCATTCAAACCACAGTTGTGCTAATAAGTGTTACTCCATCACACAGCACTCTTTTATCTTTTTTCAGTAATTAATGTTTAACCCTGCATTGTACGATGTGTGCATGCACACTTATGTAGGTCTATATCCACAAACAAGAGAAAATTTTCTCCAGAAATCTTTAAATTATCAGTAAACTACACTCTTACAGCTGGCTGTATAAATCACCATATTCATATTAAACTTCTACTAATAAAAAAAATCTTCACACACACACAGTTTCATCTGTGTTTCTATTTAGCTACAAATGTCATTGCTTATCTTTCTTCTATATGCAGGACATCACATACACTATTACAATATAAAACCTAACAATAAGTATGATTTTCAAGCTATTATTTTAATCTGTGAGAAGAATGTCTCATTCACAAGCACAAGTAGCACAGTCATTTGCATCATTGAAACAAAGCCAAAATATATATCTAAATGCAGCTGCAACATTTAAGAGAAACCCACAACTGTTCCATGTTTGTAGCTGTACTCTTTCCATGTACTCTGTATACAGTACATAAAATTTACAATGAATTAGTGGATTCATGCAGCACTGTACTATTTTCCTCATCATCCACTTCTCTCCTTCAGTAACACCAGTACCAAATTTCATAAATAAAATACACCCTAAGAGAGAGACGACTTTTCACATTATTGGTTTTAAATACATACTTTTTTCTTGAATATAAGTTTGTATGGAATATGGAGCTGCTACTTTATTTCCATCAATGGGATACACTGACATGTTGTAGCATACAAATGATTTAAAGTTTTCTGTAAAGAAAAAAAAGGAATATTTGCATAGATATAACATGCACATAACGCACATAACACACAACTAAAGGAGACTCAATCATGGTGTCTTCCTAGGTGGATAGTAAATGCGTATATACAGTTTTGCAAGTACAGAATATATTTATTATTTCAAGTATTCCTTATAACATTTAACAGCAAGAATTCTATTTTGTAAGATTAGCAGCATTCTGAATCATTTTTCACAGGAAATAGATTGAACAAGTAAATATTCTTCAGCTTTATATAGTTTCCATATATGAAGCCACTTACTCATCCCTAATAGTTTGAGATTTTTGGCAGAAATTTTTATTTTCACATCATCATTATAAAATGATCATTTCAGGAACATTTTCAATTTCATAAGTTAGGTTTGCTGCTCTGCAGAAGAGCTTTGTTTTTTGAGCCCCAGCTCATAACTGCGCATTGATCATCCAGTTGTGCTGACTGTAGATTTACCTCTATGCATCCTGACTCACAGCACAACCGTACAAACGAAATCTCTGCACTGGACTTTTATAGTCTTCAAAACATAGTTCAAGTCTCAGGAAATTATGTTATGCCAAGTAATCAGCAGGATGCACCTCTCTACTTAAAATAACTCATCAACTCAGAGAGGACTCATTTGTGGTTTTATGAGAAGCTTAGGGGTTTCCTGTGCCACTCCTCAAACTCAGTGAGTATGATTCTACAGACAAACCCATATATCAGCTTTCCACTGCTTTTTCAGTCTCTTACACTTATCACAGCCCAGCACAAATGAGGATGGCCCACATGTTATCTGTAAAAGAATTCCACAAATAAGAGAATTAGGCTTGAACAGACAAATTACACTACTTTTCTAGTGTAACTTGTCTCAAGGTAATCACGATGTCCCAGTTATGCTAAGGAGGAAGACGCTTTGTTAATTAAGAACACCTGTAAGTTCAATTTATTCCTTACAGTAATTTGTAGAATAGCACAATTTTCAGCATAAGTGTCAAGAGTAAAGAGTCAAGTCAATTTGTTCTAAATGTGTACTGCTCTTGAACTTTATTTTGAGGAGATTGTTGTTTAATTTGTTTCACTATAGCTTAGCTTCATATATAGAAACACTATATACAGCAGTGTCATCTGTGCCAGTAAGACACATTTCAGAAGCAAGGTACGCACTCATTAACAAACTAGGTGTTCCTTTTTACTTTAGAAAAATGAAGTGTACTTCCTTCCTGAAGACTTCAGGAATTCTTCTTGCTAGATGTAGAACTCAGAAAGATCCTTACATGAACAAAAGCAACTTTCAAGTTTATTAAATTTAAGTTCACTAGTGGAGAACTAAAGAAATAAGAATCCAAGTCACATTCAAGATATATCATGTACTAATTCAAACATTTTTACAATTGCTCCTGTGTTTGTAAAATAAAAACAAAGGAAAGATGCCTGTCATTACCTACAGACAGCACACAGTAACAACACACTCACTCTAATATTAACATTCACGGTTTGCCACAATTTTGTCAGTACATCATAAGGCCACTGAAACCTCTGATGAATACCTTAGGTCATAATACAAAGGTGATTATAAGATACTTAAGACAGCATATGGGAGCTGTTAGGCCACGGCCTGAACCAGTGATTGAACACCTGGTGAAGGATCACAGCCAGCCCTGAGAGCACAAGTGGAAGCAATTCACCTGTACGACTAGAAGGGGTGGATCTTGGCTCCATCCCTCCTCTCATTTAAGGGATGGCAGCTGCAATGGAAGTATCTCTATTTGCAGATTGCCTCCTCTGGAGAACTTTGTGAGCTCTAATCCTCAGAAATGAGTAAGCAATAACTTATTTATTTAACTTATTTTTAACTTTATTTTAAACTTTATTTTAACTTATTTAACTTAATAACTTATTTATTACTGGATTGTCACTGGTACCTTTCTTAGGTTTGAAGCTGCCACTTATCCTTACAAAGAGGTTGACCAATCACTCCACTTGTTTATTTTGAAGTAAAATTCTCTTTGAAATTCTTCTGCTCTCTAAAACACATGAAAACACTGTCTTTTCCCATCTCTGAATTCAGTATTTTTGCTCTAGATTATTCTGCTAGATCTACTGTGCATCTGTCACAGGCCAGAAGACAGTGAAAACATGGCATCTGTAGCCTAATTTATACAGGAACAAAGACAATCTTGTGTCAAAATCTGAGGGATAAAATTACTGTTGAACAACATGTAGCAATTTCAGTAAAGCATAAAATAAGGCTGTTATTATTTTGTCTGTGTAAATCTGCAAGAAATCAAAGCCTTCAATACTGGATTGCTGTCTTTCAAATATCAGTGTTCCTATGCTTTATGTGCCTAATGTGATACGTCTTGAAGTACAGAAGTCTGGTTCAGGATCAAGAGTGAAACTCTCAGACGCAATATGAAAGCAGATGACCAATTCCTGTTAACTTATTTAAAAGCCAATGAAAGTTAGATGTTCTGTTCTTTCACTTTTTTTTTTTTTTTTTTTTAAAGCACACGTTAACACATACACGAAAGGGATTCACTTGACAAAAAGCAGAACAATAATGTTAACTTCAAAATAGCTGCTTGCAAATTCAACCTCATTGTTCTTTCTTGTCTTCATCCAAATAAATACATGTAAGTACCTATACGTACATAGAAGCATACATATTTGTGTCCATTATTACAGCTGTAACTTGTAAATGAACGTACTTTTGTTAGGTTTCCACTTTGTAGAATTTGATATATACTGCCATGACCTACTAAAAGGATCTGTCTCCATTTCGTCATACCACTCAACTACATACTCGGTTACTTCTGGTTTAGAGACTGTCCATTCCACAATCACTTCTTCCTCTGTTGTAAAGGTTCTCACTGCTTCAATCATTTGAGAAGCTAAAAATGTAACAGAATGTCATCAATTCTATCTTTCTAGAAACTGTTTGCACAAGAACAATTCAGTCACAGCAATCTGAGATCACTTAGCCAAGGTTAAGAAAAACTGACTTTACAACTACATGCACGTATATCAAAAATACCTTAAAATGAAGCATATAAGAACTATAACATTGAAAAAGAGGGAGGGACCAAAAAAATAATCAAGACAGGACGTAATGAAATTTACACAGAATCAAAGAGCCCTTCTCTAATAGGATCTAAATTTCACAGCTTATTGATTACAGTTAGTGCAGATAAGCAAGTTTTCGTTGGGGAATCAAATGGCAATAGGAAAACAAGTAAAAGAAAATCAGCAGGACTGTTAAGTGACAGTGAAGCAAAAGCAGACTATCAGCCTGTAGAAAAATTAATGGAAATCTGACTGAAAACTTAAGTGAGGAAAGCAGAAGGGGAAAAAAAAGACCTAGCAATACAAAGTTAAAATATGAGTATATAGAAAGAAGAAACACAGCATGGAAAAAACAGAAATGTTTACTGAAGGATATGGAAGTGGTCAGAGGAGTAGTCAGCAATCTCCAGGACATGATGACAACATGTCTGCATATCCATTTTTTCTGATTAGACTGGAATTTAATTGTGCAATTCCAGAGAAGCACTTCTACAACTGATGTAGGAGAAGTGATTCACCAGTGGGCCAACTGCAACCTTTCTCCCAGACCACAAGTAGTTTGCAGGATATTGCAATACAAGGCTAACAAAGATACCTGATTAAGCATAAGAGCTCAAGAACAACGTGCACAGAAGTGCGCAGAATGAGGTGTATATAAAACAAGCATGTTTCTCTCTCCACTGCTGTTAGGGACTTCTATTAAAATGGGAATAACATCAAACATGGTGCAGTAATGCCCTGAGGTAACCAATTCTATGGTCTAGGAGATGGTGAGGTATAATTTGATGATGCTGTAAATGTATTTGGGAGATTCAGGATTTGAACAAAAATAAAGTAACGCAACAGAAATAATAATGCATCAGAAAATGCTGGTATTTTAACAACGATACGTTAAAACAAAAGTCCCAACAATAATCTTCTGCACAAGAAACATGGTACCTGACAGCAAAATACAACCAAAGAAACGCTACTGTTCCAGTAAAAATTAAGAGACTACGTAGTCTTACATATAATATGGCTCTACATATGGTTCAAAGACAAAAGTCCTTAGCACGATTTTGCTTCCACTACAATAGAACTTATGCAGATTTCAAGAATATCATTTGCTTGTAATGAGAAAAATATATTGCAATATTAAAAAATCTTACATTTTTCATCAGTGGATGGAATCCTCAAAATAGCTGCAGGAGAATTTCCAGCAGAATTATAGGCAGTAAGAGATATTATATATGCCTCTTCATTTAAAAATAAAGTAATTTTCTTATCAGAAGTGAAGTCTGTCATTTGAAGTGCAGCATTATTTTCTGGAAAATACTGTATTTTGTAGCCTAGAATTCTCCCATGGGGTGGCAAGTTGCTTAACAGCTATTAAAAGAATGTATTAGTAAATTTTTCACAGTGTTATCTTTATAATCAAAATTATATTCTTATTAAAGAATATAGAATCTCTATAAATAAAAAATACCCATGTTAAAAAAATATGGCAAAGGGTAGTTAGGGGGATGTTATTAGAATGCTGTTATGCTAGCTATATGCTAGCTCACAAGCAGTTCATCATCTTGCTTCTCAATACAGGTTTCTTAGAACATCTCACTACTTCAAAACAGCATCTCTAGAAACAATTAGCATGTTTTATCACCAGAAAGATACTGACAATTTTTCCTTTGAAGTATTTTATAGCAATATTTTGCTCTAAGAAGATACATTAGGAAATCACAAAAGAGAGTAGTTCTTAAAAACATCTATCAAAAGTTATCTTACAAAACTGTACCTGAAATCACCAGAAAATCCAAAAATTACACTGCAGCATTAGAGAAAACTACAACATAAACCTAGCCATTTGTTTCAGTAATTTCATTACATAAATATTTAGTTTTAGTAAAAGACTATTGAATTTAAATGTGAATTTAAACACAGCATTAGTAAACTGCATTATTTAATGTCAGTTGCAAGGATTTTCAATCAGATTTTCTAGTGATCTGAACACAACGAAAACCTCTTTTTCTGCATTTACAACAAAACTCTATTAATCTACCCCTCACTAAATCAAAGCCTTTCCACTTCTACTTTGGTTCAGGAAGGGTGTTGTTGTTCGTTTGTTTTTCTGATGGCAACAAAAGAGTGTATTTACCTTCCACATAAGATACACGGATCTGTTTCCAGATGGGGTTGAAGACTCAATTACTCTCCACAAATCCACTTTTTCTGAAGGAGCTATTAAAAAACAACAACAAAATTCCTGAAATCTGTTGTTATAACTGGTCAAAGGGATGCCTCATACCATATGACATTGTGCTCAGCAAAAAAATCTAGAGAGGAAACAAAGGAGCAGATGCTCAGAATGATGGCATCTGTCCTCACTCACCTTGAGTACAGTGCACAGGTTTCAGCACCATGATATAAGACAAAGCTATCAGACAATCTCCAAGGAAGGACCACAAAGAAGGAGAAGGGTCTAGAGAAGATGTATGAGGAGCAGCTGAGGCCTCAGGGTTTGTTCAGCCCATAGAAGAGGAGCTATGGGGAGGCTTCATAGCAGCTGCAGCTCCTCAGAGGGTGCAGAGCGCAGCACTGAGCTCTGCTTTCTGGAGACAGTGACAGGAAAAACGTAGAGCTGCATCAAGGGAGGATCAGGTTTGGTGTTAAGAAAAGGTTCTTCAGCAGAGGGAGGTCAGGCCCTGGAACGGAGTCCTCAGGGCAGTGGTCATGGTCCTAAGCTGCTGGAAAATGCTCTGAGATGTAGGAATTGGGTGGTCCTGGTTAACCTAGCACACATTAAAGGATGCTTGAGGGGCCCCATGTTGTCATCTTCATGGTCATCATTGCTGTTTGCCAGTTTGAGACCAACCTCTGGACCTTGCTCAGTCCCTCCCCACCCCCTGCATCCCTTCTCCGCTGCCAGCTCAGAACAGACCTTCAAAACAGACTGGTGATCAATCTTTTCCTATCTCTCTTTAACTCTCATTCTTTCTCCATTTTCCTCAGTTTTCTCTTTTCACTTTTTTTCTCTTACAAAATTATTAAGTAACTGTGAGAATTGGTTTGGCTTCTTAAAACTCGTACCTCTTACAAAATTGCTGAGTCATAAAGTTGTTAAGTAATTGTGAGATTTATCTCAGTTCCTTAAGTTAGCCGCATGGCTTAAGATAGATTCTAAGTGTTAGAGTGACAATATTATATGGGGGATAATTGTAATATGTCAATTCTCATTAAAACTGATGATTGTGCACCTCTGTATATTGTTTTATCTTGATCTAACTGGTAGTATTTGTGAGTCTGCTCACTTTCTCCCGCGCTCATGCACAGGAAGTGACATCTTTGTGGGTTCCTTGCCAACTCAGGATATTGTAAGATTCTATGTTTTCATGATTCCCAAGTAACTGTTATGCATTATGAGCCCTGCTGTCCTGGAAGATGGCAAGTTGTGAATGATCTCTCTGTGTTGTTTTGCTTGCTTTGCTAAAACTTTGGCTTTACCTAGTAAACTGTCTTAATGTCAACCCTTGAGCTGCCTTGCTCTTACCTTTCCAATTCTCTCCCCCTCTCTGATACAGGGTAAGTGAGCAATCAGCTGTGTGGTGCAGGTTTAACTCTGCCTACCAGGGTTAAACCACAACATGTTCTACAGCTGGCAATTTATTTTTTCTACTTATTAGTTATTTTATTCTATGTAACCATTAAATTTACATTTCTTCTAAATCTACATTTCTACAAAATACATTTCTTCTACTTTCATTCTTTCTACTTTCCTCTTCTGTATTTATTTAAAATGCACATTAGTACTGGTTAAATAACAGAATTATAAATTCAATAGATTGATTAGCTGAAAATAATTTTGTATTATTAACTCACAATGCTCCAAAGTATACCCTCAAGAAAAACAAACGAACAAAAAAAGAAAACACTATATAGTTGGCCTACCTTTCTCTTCTGTACTTGCTGTTTCCTCTTTACACCAGTCACTCCAGAGTTTTGATTCAACACTAATACACCGAATGGCAACCAAATACTCTGTGGAGTCCCACAGACCTGTGAGATTATGTGTTGATATCTCTTCTCCAGAAGCCACCATAACAGTGTCAATTTCCTGAAATTGATGCATAAACAAAAATGGTTAGCTATAAAATTGGATGCAGACACATGACCTGGCTTTAAAATACTCATGATGAAGTTTTGACCTTTTGCGCATCTCCTGCAAAACTCAAAATCACTTGGTTTTTATTTCAATTTTTGTGTAGTATCTTCATTCTCCCCATAAAACTCTGGTTCCTGAAAAGCTTTAGCCTAAAGTAGATCAGAATTGACTGGCATGTGACTTGAATCACGTGCAGCTCCCAAGAAGTTCTAGGGCAGCTGTGCTAGAACTTGAGGTGGTGCTGGGTAGCTGTAGTTCTTAACAACTAGGAAGCGATTGAGTATTGCTAGAGCTAAATATCACCATAATAGCCTGGATACAGCTGGAAACATCCTTTATGAGGCAACGATCACCTGAACATACTGAACAGATCTTTTAAATAAACTTTCTAATATACACCATAAACCAAAACCATTCTGTCCATCGGTTCATTCAGGAAATTATATCCTAAGACCAACAGCTAAGATGCTAATTAAAAAACATGTTAGCGTCAGGAGCTTCTTTCAAGCTCCAAGAACTTCTATTAGTTACACTGATGATTTTTTCTATTCTTTGCCAGTATTGAACATACAATGCGTAAAAAAAAAAAGATAAGAAGCAATTGGAAATGATGATAAAAGCTTGTTATTTTAGTGGAGGATAATTAGGTATGCGTTCAGTTCGTTGTTTTATTGTCTAGGATTAATTTTCCTTTTGGTCAGTATATATTTTGATACATACTGTACTTCTGATATTTCTGTGAATGGCAAAGGAATGGCCTGTTACACACAACTAGTCAAGATGTCAGTTTTGCTTTGTATTCTGGTAATGAAAACAACATTTACTTCCAACCACAGTAGATGAATCAGATTAAGATGAACTAATTTATATATTAATTTTCAAGCATACCAAAGTACAGATTTTGCAAGATAGAAAATAAGTAGGTTATTTTTCTGAGTCTGTCTTTCTGACACTTGAATGAAGGACGGCTGTAGGGAAAAACAATATTATTTAGACTTTGTCTTATTTCAGATGGCTTATTTCATGCTTCTCGGTATGAAAGTGATGATTCCATTCACAATCTCACTGTTTTCCATTCCAAATTTAATAAGGTTTTAGACAGGCTGCTTTTTTTTTTTTTTAGCTCATTAAAACACATGTTTTTTTACACACTGTATGTACACATTTCCAATTGCTTCTTATCTTTTTTATAGTCAGCCTTTTATAGCATTATGAAATTAGTTACAGAGCCCACATTCACAAGAGAACAAGAGCAGCTTACCGATGAGTTCGAATACAAGTTTCTGTATCGAATCTGGCATTGTACATCCAGTAAGCGTGTACTTTTCTCAGGTATCTTCCAGGTTACTGTAAGCAACTGCTTTATACCAGCATATTTTTTTAATGAAAGTATTTCAGGAGGTTGAAATCTCTCTAGAATGGAGAAACAAAAGAAAAAGCGTATATAAATATCAGAACTGGTCTATGTGTTTTCCAAGAAGTTTAACTACTATCCCAATTACATACAGTCCAGCAGAGAATTCATATGATGGTGCATTTTATAGACGTAACTCTATATATGGGAAATTATTTATAAGAGATTGTACGTGTAATCGAAGCTAACAAAATCACTCTCAAACAGATGTACAGGTTTCTCCCACCTGTATCAGTGCTGAAGATACCAGAATCTCTTCTCACAGACAACAGAAGGGAAAAGAAAAGAACTGGTGCTCAGTTGCTAAGGTCAATTTCTAAATGCACATGGGGAAATAATTCTGTCACAAAGGATTTCAGGGCAAGAGCAATGTGAAGAAGACAATGACAAAATGACAGATAAACACAAAAGAGAGATGACTGATACATAGGATGTGGAAAGCAACATGGACCCACAGCAAATCTGAACACAAGGCATAAAGGCACACTAGACTGGAGAGCTGATGAAGTGCTGCATCAAAAATACACAAATAAAAGAATTACAGTAGTTTCCTCTGAAACAGCTCTGTTAAGCCTCTTGAGTTCTTAACACTGACTCTAGGACTGGCTCTTCTTGACATTTCTTTACCACAGCTAAAACTTGTACCTCACATAACTTCCTGTGTGCTACGTGTGGTACAAGCAGCTGTTTCACGCCTGAAAATCACTGAGGAGCTGAATCTGACACACAGGATTTGAGCAGAAAAATAACATCATTGTAGTTTAGTTGTTTATATTCCACAAAATCCAGCTCAGGGCAAGCCTTATAACTGGGACTCATCCTAGACCCACTGTTCCCACCAACATCTCGTAGAGAGCCACCAAATCCAACGCATCACAGCAGCCTGTCGCTCACACTGAAGAAGAAAGTATTTAGAGGGATGTACATTATGCAGGAAAGAGTGACAATGCTGACTTCACTCTACTGAGATCAAAATCTTGAATACATACACCAGAATGAGTAAAGGAGAAAGGAGTACAGAAGAAGAGGGAGCCAAAATAGTACTACAACTCCCGAGACCTGCAGAACGCATGTTTTTTTTTGACATTCCTAACCAGAAAGTAGAATAAACGAGAGGCAGATGTGATGATTTGACAATATCACCATTCATTTACAGCCAGACACTCTACTGACACCTAGTACTACTCAAAAACACAAACAGTTCACGTACCAGTTATTGTAGGAAAGAATTTTAGTATATTGCCTTTACTCATAGATTAAAAAATGCTTCAGTAATTTTTGCCTTATTGCAGACATCAGCTAAAATATTGCTGGAGTTAGATATTCCAGGTATTCTGTATTATGAATACAAATTGCTAAAATTTGCTGTCTTTTCCTAACAGTTCAAAGAATTTTACATAGAAAGACAATCAGCTAAAACATATGGGGAGATTCACTTGACTAAACAGGAAGCATCCAAATTTTCAGAAAATTAAAAGGAATTAAGCATTTTATTAAACACCAGATGTCATTCATTTCAGACACTTTGCAATCTCACAGTTTAATCTTTTAGATAGTCAAGTGTGGAGTCAGGACTTGGATTCAATGATCCAGTTGGGTCTCTTCCAACTTTAGATATTCTACTGTTCTACGAATTTTAACTAGCAACTGAAATGAGTTGCTCATTCAAAAGAAAACCAATACAAAACTAACTGAAATCTAAAGAATTATTTCAAAACTTTATAATGGAAATATTTTTTTTTCATAGAATTTTATTCTACTAAAACTAACTAACTTTACACAATTTGTTCCAGGATTCTCTAAGCTGTATTTACAGAGAAAGAAAAATAAATGGGGAAGATGCCATTAGTTCAACATATATTTTGTTTCTGTTTTTATTTAACTCTTTTTAAATTACCTATTTCTTCCATATTTATAGGAACACAATCCGATGAGGCTTCACCCAAAACATTTTCAGCTTTCACTTGAAAACAAAGATTATCACCAAATGGAATATTTGGGTAATGAAATGAACATGATTCAGTTTTGCTTCGGCAGACAGAGATCTTCATCTCCTGCATAATTGGACCTTGTACACTCATACTAAAAATTGAAAAACAGGAGAAATAACAGGAGTTATACACCAGAACATTTTCTTATAATAACCCTCACTGACTGTTAGGTTAGGATTTAATTATTACTTCTATGTTTTCAAAGTTGCACAATTTCTTTACCCAGGAAAACTTCCTTAGGTGATACATTTGTGCAAGAAATACTGTTTCATAACTGCACTGTTTCTGCACTCACTCTATGAAAACAAGAAATAAGGCATATGAATAGCCCACAGAGATTAAATTAGTAAGACAACTTTCAAGGAGTAGCAACAAAAAGTAAAAATTACTTAATTCGCATGTTATTATTATTTTAGGTAAGAATCAAAGCAGTGAAATAACCAAGCAAGTCCACTTAAGAGCTTTTATAAAAATATGTATGCAGATACAGCTCAAAACACATCCCACATTGCAAAGTTACGAGATAACCGCACCTTTTCAACACAGTGTAAAGAAAAGCCAAATTGTACCACTGCCAATTTCAAAGAAGGTAACTGAAATTTGACACATTTTCCTGATTTTTCAGCATGTGCTTTCAAGTAAGCGGAACAGGATGTAAGGCTAACAAAAATTGCTTCATTTTACCTAGCAACACAGAAATTCTACAAATGAAAATTTATATATGAGAGCTGTATTAAAGACTTTATATTATGTCCCAGTTATGCACATCCTTGGTGTAACTCAAAAAACAGTCTCAGATAGGTATTTAATGAATACTTTTAAGACAGCGTAAGCTTGCAGCGCTGTAAAAGGAACCACAGACTGGTTTATGTTGGAAAGGACTTTTAAGATCATCTAGTTCCAACACTCCTGCTACAGGCAGGGACACCTCTCTCTAGATAAGGTTGGTTAAAGCCCCATCCAGTCTGGCCTTGAATGCTTCCAGGGAGGGAGCATTCACAACCTCACTGGGCAATCTCTTCCTGTGTCTTACCACCCTCTCAGTAAAGAATTTCCTCCTAATATTTAGTCTAAATCTACCCTCTTTCAGTTTAAAACCATTTCTCCTTGTCCTGTCACTACATGCCCTTATAAAAAGTCTCTCCTCAGCTTTCCTGTAGGCTGCCTTCAGGTACTGGAAGGCCGCAATAAGGTCCACCCAGAGCCTTCTATTCTCCAGGCTGAAAAGCCCCACAACTCTCAGCCTGTCCTCATAGGGGAGATGCTCCAGACTTCTGATCATTATGGACCTCCTCTGCACCTGCTCCACCAGCTCCATGTCCTTCTTGTGCTCGGGGCCCCAGAACTGGATGTAGTATTCCAGGTGGGGTCCCACGAGAGCAGAGCAGAGGGGCAGAATCACCTCTTTTGACCTGTTGGACACACTTCTATAGCTGCAACCCAGGATATGGCTCATGTTGAATCTTCCATCAACCAACACTCCCAAAACCTTCTCCTCAAAGCTGTTCTTAAGCCATTTCCCACCCAGCCTATATCTGCTTGGAAAGGAAGCAATCCTCTTCTCCATAACAGGAATAACTGTTTCCATCCATAGATGTCTGCTCCCTTGTACAAGTGCTTTGTAGTCATATGGAAGACCCATAAAAAAACAGTAGTTAGATTTTACAAGAAATAGTTCTGCAATTCAATTCATTATGTGGATAAAGAAAAATATGTGCAGATACAGGAAGGAACAGTACTGATATTTTCCTTCAATAGCTGTCATCAGTTTTTGGTTTTACATAATCAGCTAAGTGACCAAACATAGTAACACCAAAAGCAGTAATAAATTTGGAAGTAGTAAACCAGAAATAAAGGTGAAAGACTTAAACGCCAAGTCTAAAATGAAATAAAGTTACAGACTTTTTCCTCTCTTATCACTTAATTAAAAAGGTATACATGTTTGCATAACTTACTAAAAGAACACAACTCACATGAAGTACAAACTCCTGCCAATTGTCAAGAAAATTTCAGAAAATTACTCATACCAGCATACTATCTAAAGGTTTGACTAAACACAAACAGAAACAAGCAGTATTATTCTAAAAAACAGACTAACAAGTATGTTTGAGATGAAATCTGCTGGCACATTCAAAACTGCATCTGAGATCTGCCTTGAAACAACACTGACTTCATGTTGTCACAGTAATTTGTGAAAAAGTAACCTTTTAAACAATACTTAACTGAAATTGAATGAAGCAAATACTTACGCTCTTATAATGGGGTCATAAAAACATAAAAAAGTGTGAGATTGCTGGAACAAAGGAGGTTCCACATAAATATGAGAAAAACCTTCTTCATGGTGAGGGCAACAGGACACTGGAGCAGGCTGCCCAGAGAGGTTGCGGGGTCTCCTTCTCTGGAGACATTCAGAACCCACCTGGATGCATTCCTGTGTGACCTCATCCAGGTGCTCCTGCTCCAGCAGGGGGATTGGACTGGATGATCTTTCAAAGTCCCCTCCCATCCCTGTGATTCTGTGATATTTGTAAATGCAAATCCCTGTGTGTAAGCAATCCAAGAAGGACAACTCTTCCTTCAATCATTAAAACATTATGACTTCAAAGACTCCCAGATTAAACTGTCAAATGGCTCATCATTATATTTGCACAGTTCTGCTTTTTTTTTCTTCCTTCTCCCCAGCACTTTTCCTTGAAATTACAAGTTTATTACTAGAAAAGATAAACAGTTATCAATTGTACATATTTTTTTAATGCTCAGGGTACCTTTACGACATAGTAATTGTGATTTTAACATGCCAAGCCTGCAATAGATGCTGCTAGATACCAAGCATATTTTGGTAAGCAAACGAGTAAATTATGCAAATTTTCAGCATCTATACAACAATTCAGATGAAAGGCTTGGCTTGTAATAACTGCATTGCACAAAATGCTGCCAGTAAGAAGAGCACCTTGAAAACTGCTATTTAGTAAGCCTTAAAATATCTCTAAGTGTAACACATGATTACAAACAACTGTACTTGCTATCACTAGACAAAATAACAGAGAATTCAATGGTTTTAACAAGGAAATTGTTTAAAGCGGAGAAAGGACACACCTTCTTTCCTCACCCAAAATGAGGATAGCTAAAAGCACAAAGAATTTCCATTCTACTTCACCAGTGGGATACCCTAAAAGCTGATGTTTGTACTTAGGCTTACTCAACTTTTCTCCAATTAGTAATGTTACCTTGAGGAAACAAATGAATTTAAGTTCTGACGTAAACATTTCTACGTCTACTGAGTATTAGGTTGAAAATGCTTATTACTTAAACACAGAGAACCAAAACGGTATCAGGTAGTAAGTTTTTTCAACCATTACCAACTCAAAATTAATTGCATTAAGAAATGCTTCTGAACTACATGATGTTTCTATGCTTCTCAGTTTACTTTAAACAAAAGTCAGGAAATGGGGGGGTGGGAAGAATGATGACACACGACTAGTGGTCTCACCCCAGCACTCCAGTTCCTGGTACATTCTATACTTACATTTTTCTGTAAAGAGTATAACTTGTTGCAAGATTTGTTTCTCTTCCTGAAGTCCAGTTACAGGTAAGCTTAATATCAACATCGTAAATGCAGGAAATATTTCTTGGTGTGCCTGGTGGAACTACAATGACAAAGGAAAAAAATTTCTCATATATTATATTATATTATATTATTTTAATATAAAACTTAAAATGTTGGTAGGCAGGCTGATTACACTAAACCACTACATGACTTGCATAGAACTTATTTTAAGAATTTCTTATTGCCCTCAAAACCCTTCACAAAACCAAAACCACTCTCCTTCCCAACTAAAGCCAGGCAATTTGCCCCAGTTACTTCTCAGAAGTACATAATTAAGTGGGTCTGAAAGAATTTTTCTACTAACGCATTACAGAAACTTACATCAAATCAATATGCACTTCAGCCTGAACCTCTAAGTATAACCTCTGCGAAACACCTACAGCTAAATGCCAGTCCAGTTAGCAACAGAAAAACAAAGAAACAATTTAAAAGTTCACAAAAAGAGGGCATCCTCTGAAAGACACAGTTCCACTTAGTTCCTTCCCATTACCACATATCCAATCAAAACTGCTGATCTGAAAAGTCCTCATGACCTCAGAAAGATAACTTCCCAAGAAATGTATGAATACAACTCTGAAAAGACCCCTCTAATTCCAGACTCCCACTCTTCCAAGCAAGATAGCACAAAGGAATGCAATCTTTATAGTCTGAAGCTATTCATAAAAAAAAAATGCAACACCCTCTTGATATCTGTGTTGAAGCTAGTCTTCTTCAGTCAACAGAAGAAATGGGAGTGAAGACAAAGATCTCCAATAAATTAGCTGAAAAGAGAGTTCTATGAACTCTATAAGAAGCTCTCTCTCTGAAATAATACATCTCTATTCTATTTAACATAGCTCTTCAAAAGATATCCCTTTTGCTAACATGCTTAAGATACACTCAACTTTGAAAACAGGCAATACTTTCTGCTGTTCTTTATTCCAGAAATTTACTTCTCTGCATTTATTCTTTACTAGAAAAGGATCTCCATGCAGATGTTAGCATAGCCTGGACTTAACCTGTTCAATAAATTAGAAAAAATAGTATTTAATTTACCCTTCAGTCTTCTCCAGATGAGACTATAATGCTTTAGGAGCACTAGATTAGAAAGTAAAACATCCCTGGAGAAATCTAAAGTTGGCTAAGCTAGATATGAGAAACAAAAGAGAAAGCTTGCATTGATTTAACTGGCCAAACACTGGGTCAGAGAGGTTACAGACTTGCATGAATAAGGTTTGCCGGAAATTTCATGCTTTAGTTTAGAAAAAAAAAAAGGATATATTGAAGATAAGTGACTTGCAACGCCACAAGGAGGACAGGGGAGGGGAAGGGAGTTGTTTTAAAAATATTTCTTGAAGTTATTCAAAAATGTTAAAATTAGTTGCCCCATATTTCTACTTACATCCAGATTTAACTTCAGTGTGAACCAGAAGTTGTTCCTTCCCTAAGTACTTAATGAAGCACTTCACATGTGCTTTGTTGTGAGTGAAATTATTGATAGTTATACTAGATACAGTCTCATTGACGATATTATAGTTTTCCCGAGCAATTAATTCGCGATTCAATTTCCAGATGATGTGGCTTGCGTTCCTGTGAGGTGTGTAATGTTTTCCAAGAACACAGAATAGTTTCAGGGTGGATCCTCTTTCAATTTCAGGAGAAGAAGGAAAAATGTCAGCATCTCTAGTAGAGTTCTCATCTGAAAACAAAATTAAAGTTATCACATAACCTAGTCTCTTAAAAGAATGAGAAAATATAGTACTTACTTTGTTATCGAAGTATATGCCCAGAGATCATTTCATTGTTTTTTTTTTTAAATATAGTTCAAATAAAATGCTCAGATGGCACCTATGTGATATATATTAATATAGGTATTGTGCAAGAATGATTTTCTATATCTTTGCCGTTGAGAATGTATAGCAACTGTTAGTGACTATATTGAAAAGCATTTTTGCAGCTGAGAATTTGCTCTGTCAAACTGTGTCATTTCGTGTTCTGTATCTGCTGTAGTTTCCATGGAAATAAGTAGGAGGCACCACTTTTGGAGCAACCTACAGAATACTGATGAAAAATAAAAGCCTGTGGTTTTCCATTCAGGTCTGCTTCTTAACCACTTCAGAACCAGCCATACAACATTCACTGCAATTTCAATAGTTACTGGTGCAAGCTTAAACTGACTATGGAACTGCCACACTTCTAAAAAATAAATTAATTAATTAAAAAAAAACTCCAAAACATTCACACATTGTTACTGTTATTGTGACTTTTAAGATCAGGGATAATGTTATTATTCAGAAATTCATGTAATGATTACTAACATTTGACGTAAACTAGATCTAAAAGAGCAGACATTAACTGCTCCTTGGATGCTCATGTATTACAAAGTTAGTAATTTGGCCTACAGCAGATCACCAAAGTTAAATCTTGACAACCCAACAAGAACTGAACCGTGATACAACTTCCGGATGCAATGTCCTCCATCATCCTGTGCAAGAGGTAAACAGCTAACATTGTAACTTTTAAAATATTAAAAACAAAAAAAGACAAAAACTTAAAGCAATGACAGTTTGCACACCACAAAGAGAGATCAAGAATACCATATGTAAGTTAATCTTTCACTCTACTGTAAACTACCTACTCACCTGCTAACTCCTATGTTTAAAATATTCTGGTTTTCATATTAATAACTCTTAAAAATTACATTTGGCAAAGGATCCTTGATGGGAAATTTTCTATTGGCAAAATGAGTGCTAGTAATTAAGAAACATACCTGCTATAGATCTTCTACAGAGCAAGATAAATATCCAAATCCAACAGTTGAACATTTCCTTTTCAGTAAGTATGGGCAGGAAACACTGTCAGGAAATAAAAATATTAAATAAATAAAAAGCATGTAGTTCAAGTAAAGATGCCCTTGTAACTTTAACACTTTGCAAGCATTTATATGACAAGAATGATGACCCACTTGTGTTCAATTTAAGTACTGATTTGCCTAAATGTTAGTTTCCTGCATGATGTGAGAAATCTGATACAGTTTTCCAGTTTTCAAGTTTTCCAGAAAGATGAAAGGGGCAAGCATATCTGAAACCCTTCTGGACGGGATCCAATCTGTCTTCTAATTGCAGTGTGAATCACAGAACCATAAAATCACTCAGGTTGGAAAAGACCTTCAAGATCACTGAGTCCAACCACAACCTAACCATACTGCCCTAACTCTAACAACCCTCCACAATCATGTTCCTGATCACCACATCCAAATGGATTTTTAACACATCCAGGGATGGTGACTCAACCACCTCCTGGGAAGCCTATTCCAGTGCTTAACAACCCTTCCTGTAAAGAAGTTTTCCTGATATCCAGCCTAAACCTCCCGTGCCACAACTTGAGGCCATTTCCCCTTGTCCCATCACCTGTCACCAGTGAGAAGAGACCACCCCTGCTCTCACTGCAATCACCTTCCAGGTACTGGAAGGGAGCAATAAGGTCTCCCTTCAGCCTCCTTTTCCCCAGACTAAACAGCCCCAGTTCCTTCAATCTCCCCTCGTAGGCCATGTTCTCCAAGCCCTTCACAAGCCTTGTTGCCCTTCTTCGGCCTTGCTCCAGCACCTCAGTGTCCTGTGTACTGTGTACACTGTGTACTGTGTACAGCGTACTGAGGTGCCCAAAACTGAACACAGTACTCGAGGTGAGACCTCACCAGCACCGAGTACAGGAGCAGGGTGACTTCCCTAGTCCTGCTCACCTCACCATTCCTGATACAAGCCAGGATGCCATGGGCCTTCTTGGCCACCCGGGCACACTGCTGGCTCATACTCAGCCAACTGTCCATCAATACACCAAGGTCCCTTTCCATCAGGCAGCTTTCCAGCCACTCTTCCCCAGGCCTGTAGGGTTGCCTGGGGTTGTTGTGACCAAAATGCAGGACCCAACACTTGGCCCTGTTGAAATACGTACAGTTAACCTTGGCCCATTAACCCAGTCTATCCAGGTCCGTCTGTAGTGCCCTTCTCCCCTCAGAAAGATCAACACTGCCTCCCAACTTGGTGTCATCTGCAAACTTACTGAGGGTGCACTCAATCCCCTCATCAAGATTAATAAAGATGTTTCATAGAAGCTGCCCCAGTACCGAGACCTGGGGGACAGCACTCGTGACCGGCCACCAGCTGGATTTAGCTCTGTTGGCCACAGCTCTTTGGATGTGGTCATCACCCAGCGGAGCATACGCCCATGCAAACCAGCCAGCTTCTCCATGAGAATGCTGTGGGGGACAGTGTTGAAGGCCTTACTGAACTCCAGGTAAACCACATTGACAGCCTTACCCTCATCCACTAAGCGGGTCACCTTGCCATAGAATGAAATCAGGTTTGTCAGACAGGCTTTACCATTCGTAAACCCATGCTGACCGGGCCTGATCCCCTGGTTGACCTTTAACTGGTCCATGGTGGCTCCCGAGATTATCCGTTCCATAACCTTCCCGGGCACTGAGGTGAGACTGACAGGTCTGTAGCTACCAGGATCACCTTTCCAGCCCTTTTTGAAGATGGGCGTCACATTTGCCAGTCTCCAGCCTGCCGGGACATCCTCGGTTAGCCAGGACTGCCAAAGAATGATGGAGAGTGGCTTGGCAACCACATCCTCCAACTCCCTCAGCACTCTAGGGTGCAATCCATCCGGCCCCATGGACTTGTGAGTATCCAGCCTTCAGAGCAGGTCCAAAACCACCTCATCAGAGATAAAGCAGGGCCCTTCTGTTCCCCATCCCTTTCTATCAGCGCAAAGGGCTTTGTTCCCAGGGATTAACAAGTCTTACTATTAAAGACCGAAGCAATGAAGGCATTAAGCACCTCAGCCTTATCCTGATTGTTTGTTACCAAGTTGCTCTCGGTGTTCAACAAATGAAAAAGACTCTCCCTAGCCCTTCTCTTATTGCTGATGTATTTATAGAAACATTTACTGTCACCTTTCACCCTAGTGGCCAAGTTCAGATCTAGCTGGGCCTTAGCCTGATTTTCTCTCTGCACAGCTTCACCATATACTTGTAATTCTCCTAAGTTGCTTGGCCACTCTTCCAAAGACCATAAACTTTCCTTTTGTTCCTGAGTTCTAGCCAAAGGTCTCTGTTCAGCCAGATCGGTTTCCTTCCCTGTTAGCTTGTCTGCCATGACTTGGAGATGGTCAGCTCCTGCATCTTTAAAATAACTTCCTTAAAGTATTCCCAGCCTTCCTGGGCTCCCATGCCCTTCAGAACTACCTCCCAAGGGACTTTTTTAACCATGGACAGAAAGAAACCAAAGTCTGCCCTCCAGATGTCCGAGGATTGGTAAGAAAGAGAATTACATTTATTTGAAATTTGGCCTGCCCAACCATCCTTTGGGAGCAGGCATTAAACAAGGCTAACTCTTAAAATGGCTAAATGAAAACTGCATTCCACTCAAAAATAAAGGGAAGTTCTAACAGTCAGATGACTCTTAACTAGCCCTGTAGAACACACACCAAAGACTATGCTATGCAGTGTGGTCAGCAGTGATGCAGTCCACCGTACTTTACTAGCTAGGTGACTAGTGATTGCGGAGCAACTAATGCACTTCAGAGACAACTACTGATATCAACAAAACAAAGCAAATTAATCAAGAGCTCTCTAAGATGATGTGTCTCATATGAAATATAGAAGAAAGGATGAACCCAATACAAATCAACATTCTGCAAAAATGAATTACAGATGCTGTGCTGGCATAAGAACTTTTTTTCCCATTTCAAAAAGTTAATCATTTTATTAGATAGTTAAATAAAATGTTTTGTAACAGCTCAGTGAATATGGCTTTAATCTTGGAGGAAATACTAATTCATGAGAACACCAAATCCTGTGTGTGGCATGTGAAGATAAGCATTTATAGCTGTTTACAGGAAAGAGCTTGGGGCATTTAACATAAATGATAGAGCTCTATTATTTCTTTTTTGTAGCCTTTAATACAAACCTGTGACAAAAGCTCAACATGTATTCTTAATTGTAAAGACTTTGGGAAATAAAACTAATGTTAAAAACACAGTTTTTCCTTAAAAAATAAAGCAAAAAAGAGGATAAAACTCTCACCACACAGCAGTCATCTAGAGTGAAGCAATCTCATTACTCTAACTAAAATGGGTAATAAGTTTTCTTATTTGGAGACTATTCAAAATATTATCGCAACCTACACCAAGAACAAAACAAACATCACCCCAGACAGGGCACACAGATAACTATATTACTACAGAATAAAATGCCTTCCAGATGAGCAAACACTCCATTTATGAGAAATTTTCAATCAATTTACACAATTTTTTTTAATAAAATTCACAGTCCATTTCAACAGAAAATGTAGTGGGGAAGAAAAACAACCCTTCAAGATGACATGGACATTTGATTTTACCTGGGAGCAATGATTTTTCTTCTGGAAATTAAATTACTGTATTGATCACATGCAAAAAGAAATTGTGAGAAATAAAGAGAAGAGAGTAAGAGCAGAAGAACCAACCCGGTTAAAGCTTTGAAGGATGGATGCAAAAGCTCTTAACACAGAGAAATGGAACAATCTGCCATATTAAAAAAGAAAATTAAAAAAGGCCTATAAAGGCCTATTAAGTATGCTTCACATTTCCCACTGTAAATCTTTTTTGTACGCTTGGAATTTTTCAAAACGCTAACAGTTTCTGCTGAAATCTTAGAATGCCTGTTCTGTATTTTTGAAGGCACGAGACAGAGGCTGCTTTCAGCCAAAAAAAGAGTTTAGGCACTTCCAAGAATAGGGAAAATGTTTTCATGACGAGTCTTACCCTAGCAATCCCACACTCCCACACTCTTAGTGAATAATTGCGACTTAAAAGCACAGGGAAGTCATAAAACCCATTTCCAAGTTACGCTTGTGCCAAAAATATTCCAAACTACTGCAAATTCTACTGCAGTGGAACACAGCGCTAAGAAGCCCAGGCATGGGAAATCCAGCTGCAATGCCATGCCAGCTTACAAGCTTTCAAAATATCTTGGTTCCTTGCACTTACATAAAAGATTAAACAAAGATCAAACCCATCTATACTCAGCAATCTCCTTGTCCTCTACCCACATCCGGCCTTCTGTTCTGCTCCAGTGCACCTTTAGTGCACATCACATAGTCAGATACTTCCACTTGCTAAAATAACTTCTTTGTTGTTGTTGTTGTTAAGTAGCAAATGTAAATGGCTTTGCAAGTATCTGATTTTGCTGAAATAGAGAAATGTAGAGGATCTAGGGAGATCCTACAATGTTTCTTCCCTGCTGTAAGCTGTTCCGTCGGTTCAGTACTGATGCTGTAACAGCATCTCTTTCTGCCTTCCCCAGTTTAGCAGATGGTTACTCAGGGTGCAAATTGCCAATTACAAGATGTCAGAAATCAGTGTAGCAACTCGGCAGGTTACAGATCTGCTTACATCTTATGTGGTTATCACTATAATCATACGTGACTAAATAGCAGTTTGGCTGTGTACTTGCTCAAGACACATGTGAAAGAACTGAAAGAACAAGTCACACCATAAACTCAGAAATGTTTCACTTAAAGATGACCCAAAACTAGGGGAAGAGGTTGATATACCAGAGGGCTGTGCTGCCATCCAGAGGGACCTCAACAGGCTGGACAGATGGGCTGGCAGGAGCCTTACAGCATTTAACAAGAAGTGCAGTCATTCACCTGTGGGGGAACATGTTTAAGCATCAGCACTCCTTTACCATAAGGGTGGCTGGGCATAGGATGCCCAGAAAGGCTGTGGAGACTCCTTCCTGGAGATCTCCAAAAGGCACCTGGGTGTGCGCTTGGGCACCCTGATCTGGATGTCCCTGCTGGAGCTGGGGTTGAAACTCTTCCAATCTCAGCCTTCTGTTGGTTTGTGAAAGACAACTACAAAAGCTAAAATCAGAACAGTAAAGAAACAGCATGAACATAACTGTTTTCTTCAACAAGAGCAATTTAAAAATTTAATTCATCAAAACAAAATTTCTGGCACAAAGGGGGAAACTCAATGAAGGTCACATTAAAAAAAAAAAAAAGTAATACGCTTGATAAAACTGTCACACCAACAAAGCCTCAGGGTTTCCATTTTTAATTTTGAAATTTAAGACATTTGGAATAATTATAGTGTAAATATATGACGAAGCCAAAGGAAAAAAAGACCCACAACAACTTTTCCCCACGTTTTCTATGTAGTGCTACTTCTCCAATAATATTTCCCTTCTTTCAGGATAGGAAAGTTTTTTCCATTCAAATCTAATTCTATGATTATTTTTAACAATACAGACACATGCTTCTGCACACAATGTAGCTGTTATGCCATTAATAGAAATCACAGTACATTTATAAATTGAACTGGCAGTATGTCTTTAGCCTACATAAAACATAAGCTCTTCAAGAATTTCTAACAGTTCAAATCTAGAAAGCTACTCCTTCTTACTAACTACAAATACAACGCTTACAGCAATCCTAATACAGAAAAACTGAATAGTTGTTGGTGTCTTTTATTCAGACTTTAGTAGCAATTGTAGCATCTCCAACCACCACATACAGAGACAGCCTCCGCTCTATACCTGATCAGTCAATGCTGACTGCCAGGAATCCAGGCCTGAGCTATCTCAGTAAATTAATGTAGCAACAGACTCGTTTGGAAGAGCTATAAACATAAGTGTCCCAAACTCCACTATTCAAATCTGTTAGTATTTACAAAATCCAGGGGGGAAAGAGGACATTCCAGGCACAGAATGCCTGAAGTTCCAAATATGAACTCCAGTCTCTTTCCTAGAAAACAGGCTGCAGAAGCATCAGCTCCCAGGACCAAACCCAAGGATGAGTATCTGTGGGTATCAGAGGAGCAAGAACAGAGACCATCTGCACAGGTCAGAGCAGAACAAACAAACTGGAGGAATCAGCAGAAGTGAGGGGGAGTTTATGCCCTTTCTGACATCCGTAAGCTGTACAAATTGCACTTTGACAAGACCATTCATGGGAAAAGCAGCAGACTCCACAGCAAATGATCCTGAGCACACTGGTTTCATAGCCTATAGCCTCTAACCAAGCCAAAAGTAGATAGCTGAACCTAAGTCCAGGAAGAATAAAAATAAACATTTCAATATTTCAGTTAAATAGAAGTTCAAGCCAAAGAAGATAAGCACATTTTCTCTTGAAAAATAAACCTATTTATATTTGAAATGATGCCAATTTGCTACCATTATCTATTAAAATCCCTAGAATAAATTCTTAGTGTTATTCAAACAATACAGATTTACTGAGGAAACAGGAAGTTTATGGAAAAATCCAAAGGAGCAATGTGAAGCAGAGCTCCATGAAGCCACAGCAACTTGTTCTTTAGATATCATAGCAAAAAATAGAAATAAAAAATGCTGCATCCAGAAAGTTCAATGACATTTTAATTTACTAGCTGTAAATTGACTGGAACCTGAAAAAGCAGGAAAGACATTTTCTTCTGTCATTCTCCAAATAGAATTAGTTAAATAAAAAATAGGAACAACATGATAAGATACTTTTGTTCAAAAATCCTGAATGATGTGGTGGCCAGGCAAGGTCAGTTCGGTTAATAACTGCAGATAATATTACTTTGTTTAGCATACATTAGAGTTACAAATGAAAAGCTTGTTTTGAGAAACCCTTTTCTTCGGTATAGAACATTATTTACCAGCATATTATCACATTTTGATATAAAATGCTGTATATGATATTAAGGTCTTTTTTTTTTTTTCATTTTAAGTACACAATCAGATAGAATTTGAGAAGTATCTCTAAAAAAAAGGCCAGGACAACAATACTACCCTAAGTGACTGTTGGCAATTACCAGAGAGAACTAGAGATATTGTCACTGCAGGTCATTCTTGTTTTTATTGATAAAGAAAATTTTCAGGAAGGTTTTAAATAGACCCTGTGTACAGGTCTGATCCTGGGAGTTTTCTTCTTAGAGTTAGTGTTTGAGGAACCACAGATGTTAGTGTATGCACTGATTATTTTGTCACAGATCTCCAGTCCATAGGCCATCATTAGGTGAGGTAGTTGCCTTTGTACCCACTCCTTGGGCACAGCCACTCAAAGAAAGGTGGATAGCAGGACAGAACAAGACATCTCTGCCAGTGTAAGCAACTAGATGAGAAATGGATCCATGCATTGCCCTTTAAATAAAGGTAGAATTCTCATCAAGAGAGAGGTTTTTTCACAAGGCCAGATCCAAATCCCTTTCTTACCTCCCAAATCCAGGACCTGTTTTAATTTGAAGTTCATGAGAAATATACATCAGTCCACATGTAAGAGGGAAGATACTGTACTACTTTAAAGCATTTGTCCACTGTGCACAGCCTTGCAGTTGCTACCCACCATAGTGCTACACGTGTGACTGGAACAGGGAGGACCATGCAGATAAACCTGTGTTCCCACAGATAGAAGAGGAAAAGAGAACAAGATGAGAATAAAATGTATCATCATGAAAAGATGAACATGACTGTGCAGTTTACCAACCCTCATACCACAGCTATTCTAAAAAAGAGATTCAATCATTATTCCAGAAAATGTTATAAACTCATCTTACAGACACAGCTGATAATGAGTTTTGCATTTGTACAACTCACTGCAATACATTATCCTGGTTTTCATAATTAATTTGAAATATAGATAATATGTGCCTTTACATCCTGTATCTTTTGTAGAGTGGTTAAGAAGCTTACCCTGCATTTCCACTTCCAACATCCCTCTGCTTTTCCATTGCGGATACCTAAACTTACTCATATCAACTTCACAAGACAGTAAAAATTACACTCCCAAGTATTTCACAGCCTTCCTACCCAGTGGACAAATTCTTCAAATAGTTGGAGCTCGACACAGAGGAAGCAGGCATTCGTGCAGACTGCTGCATGAACGCAGCACGTGTATGATGTAACAGGGAAACCTCTGTACAGCTCATCTTCACCAGATCCTTCACCTTCCTCTGTGGGACACCACATCCCCTCACTCACCACGTTAAGAAATACAAGAGCCTCTTAGCAGCCTTCCTGCAGCTGAATGTCTGAGCACGCCATCCCCTGTCTCCAGCACAGGAGGCAGCTGTCTGTTCTGCTGAGTATTTTCTCTCTGTGCTCTGATTCCAAATGTTATTTATCAAAGAACCAGTCTGGACGACACAACCAAATGCTGACCACCTTGCTAACACAGCCCATCCATCTAACCCATTTTTCTTCTGTTTACTACTAATACTAACAATATTTTCATATTTCAGCTCAAAGTGCTGGCTGACAGAACTACAGAATGAAACCAACTACTACAAACAACTCGATTTGGAAGTCTGCCAGTACAACAGTTTTTTACTTGAAGATGCTACACGTCCCAAGAATGCAAAAAATCATTCATTGGATTCACAATGTCACAATACACCAACTTAACACTAACATTCAGACTGAACCCCAGCTATTGCTCCGTGCACTCGCCTAGAGAACCAAGTAACGAAGTCTCTCAGAAACAGAGCTCAGAAGTTGTGCTCAGGCTTTTTAGGCGTTTATTTTCAACATGTGGCACACAGACGCCACAGACGCGCAGTGTCGCGGTCTAGGCGCAGGCGATACCTGTGACAGATCCGTAACAGGCAACGACGACGGCTCTCGGGGCACAAAGCGTGCGCGCACGGAGTGCGGGGCCGTGTATCCACCAGCCCGAAACACCTCGGGTAAAGCCACTGCGGAGCGTAACGCGTTCTTCCCCAAAGCAAGCAAACCGGCAGCTCAGCCACAACTCTCAGCTCTCACGTCAGAGAAACAACCGCCATCGCCGCACGGCGCGGCTGCAGCCTGCGACGGCCCCGCGGCGCCGGCACGGCTCCTGCCGCCGAAGGCGCCGGTACCTACCGCGGCGGAGCCCGGCTCGGCTACAGGCGGCGAAGGGATCTCACACAATAGGAAGTCAGCGGGTGCGGCACGGCTACGCTTTTTCCTGTCACCCTGAGAGAAGGCGGCCCGCCGAGGCGAGCTGCTCCCCTCGCCGCCGCGACAGAACGCCGAGCTCCCGCCCGGCGGAGCCCACCGGGCCCGGCGCCGCTTCCCGCCTCCCGCCCGCCCTCACCACCTGCCGGGCCGGGCCGGGCCAGATACCGACCTAAGAGTGTCCCGCCGGGCCGTGGTTTCCACAGCTGTCGATGGTGGGCGCGCTGGCACCCATCTGACGCTGCTTCCAAAGCGCTTAAGTACATCAGCGCTATAATGCATGTTGATACACATCGTCTTTAAATTGCATCAACGCGTACAGTGAAACAAGAGGGCTGGGTCGTGGCCGTCGCTGATGAACGCTCAGGGACGCGCCTTATGCATTATTTAGGTCATCGGTGCCGTTCAGAATAAATACGAACCCTTTTAAAGCTTGCAGATGCGTGCCAACTAATGACAGCCATCAGCCACATAAAACGGAATAAAAGGAACAAGAGTTGGAAGGAAGATTACAATTACGTGAGATGCTGTGCAAATGGAATGACATAGTCCCCAGAAATACGCCTCCTGATAAGCATCCACAATCCTTTCTAAGAAGGCAGTCCCTGAGAACAGATAATGCACTATTGTAATCAGTGTCGATGCCATCCAGCAGTCTTGCCCCTGGCCAGAAGAGATCCCTGCTAGTTTGACTTGTTAATGCCAGATTAGCATCCCCGGGAAGTCAGAGCAGACTAGAAGTTGCTGCCCATGCAGATGCAGGAGGCTGTTTTGAACCCGGTGAGGTCAGAGCTAGAACCCGTAGCAGATGCACTTGGCTCTTGCTCAGGCCCACCACCACTGCCTGTCACAAACTGAGTTGGATTCAGAGATGGATGCTATCTGAGAGATGTGCTGCCTCTCTGTCCATGGCTGCTCACAGTCATCAGTGTTTCCCCAGCATGTTTCCACCATATCTGCCCTGTCTCCGGGACCTCCCTGCTTTTCCCAATCCAATGTCTATGTGCAGAAGTGGGATCAGCCTGCTAAGGGGGGATCATACCTATTTATTTATCGGAGGAGTAAATAAATGCTCTATTTTGTTTAGTTCGGGTGTTTAAAGAAGTCACAACTAGCCCGCACATCTGTAGCAAGCAAGCTGCAGAACTGTTCATATCAGTTTCCAACACTCTGTCTGCACGTCTGCACAATTTGGATCATGTCAAAGAAGGGCAACAAAGCTCATGGAGGGTGTGGAGCACACATCATAAAAGGAGTGGCTAAAGGAACTGGGATTGTTCAATCTGGAGGAGGCTCAAGGGAGGCCATATTGCTCTCTATAACTACCTGAAAGGAGGTTGTGGAGAGGTGGAGGGAGGCCTCTTTTTGCAGATAACAAAAATAGGAGGAGAGGTAATGATCTTATATTGTTCCAGGGGAGATTAAGGTTGGATATTAGGAAATACTTCTCAGAAAGAGTGATGAGGCATTGGAACAGGCTGCCCCTGACCTTGGAGGTTTTTCCTAGAGGTTTTCAAGCGAAGGATAGCTCTCACATGGAGTGACACAGACTAGACTGGCTATAGACATGGACTAGATGATCTTATGAGTCCTTCCAAACTTAATGATTCTGTGATTTGATGAATCTGCTACCTGTCAGCAATTTAAGCTGCAATTGCTGGTTTTTTTTTTTCCTCTGCAAATACACAGTGCCAACACTTTCTCCCAATCCCAGATGGAAAAGTGAGCAGGCTGGTTGACTGAGTAAAATGCTCCAAGCAGAAACCCAACTCTTTCAGGCCATGCTGCTGGTATGCTGGTGTGCCATCAGTCCTTCTACCCACTTCATTTACTCGCTCCTGCTGCTGTTTGTCATCTAGCTCCTGTTTGCTTGTCTTTTTCCCGCAGAGCAGCATTTACACTCTGCACCTCAGCATCCACTCCAACTTTCAGAGCAGTCCCGCGCCTTCACTTCTTCAGCTAACTCCCCATAGCCACCACCGCAGAGGGTAGCCTACTGATTCCCCTATTTGTTTTGAAACAATGTTGCCATCTCTTGATCATCTGTTTCTCATCTGGTGAAACTGCACTGCACTGATGTTTCCCTTGCTATTAACAGGAATTTTAATAAGTTGGTACTGCAATATTTTGAAATTTCCCCTCTATTTTGCTATTAGATATAGAACAGAACTGTGATGAAGAAAAAGATTCAGACTGTAACCTGAACTCTCCTTGATTCTGCAAGACCTTTGATGTGTTCCCACAGTACCTCCTTATGTTTAAATTGGAGTGATATGGTTCAGAGAGAGGACTATTTGATGCGTAAGGAACTGGTTGGATGGCCACAGCCAAAGGGTTGTGGTTAATGACAGTTGAGATGGAAGCTGATCATGAACGGTGTCCTCCAGGCGTCCATTGTAGGACTGGTACTCTTGAGCATCTTTATCAATTACATAAATGATGGGATTGAGCATACCCACAGCAAGTTTCCACACAACACCAACATAAGTGGTGAGTTGATATGGCAGAGGAAAGGATGCCATCCAAAGGGACCTTGACAAAAGGTGGGACCATATCAACATAATGAGGTTTAACAAGGCCCAGTACAGGGTGTTGCGTTTGGGTCAGGGCAGTCCCAGATCTCCCCCAGACTGGGATAAGAACTTGAGAGTAGCCCTGCCAAGAAGGACTTGGGGGTCCAGATAGATGAAAAACTTAACATGAGACAGCACTATGCACTTGATGTCCAGAAGGCCAGCTCATCAAAAGAGGGATGGACAGCTGTGAGAAGGAGGTGATTGTCACTCTCTGCTCTGCTCTCATGGGGTCTCATCTGCAGGAGTGCATTCTGGACCGGGGACCCCAACTCAAGGACATGGAGCTTTTGAAAAGGGCCCTGAACGGGGCCATGAGGGTGATCTGAACCCTGGAGCACCTCTCCTGTGAAGGCAGGATGAGGGAGCTGGGCTTGTTCAGCCTGGAGAGGAGAAGGATCTGGGGAGACTTCATTGCAGCTTTTCAATATTTAAAGGACGATTGTAAACAGGAGGGAAATCAACTTTTTACACAGGTAGGTAGTGATAGGACAAGAGAAAATAGTTTTAAACTGAAGGCGGGGAGAGTTAGATTAGATGTCAGGAAGAAGTCTTTCACAGAGAGAGTGGTGAGGTGCTTGAGCAATCTGCTCAGAGAGGTTGTGGATGCCCATCCCTAGAGGTGTTCAAGGCCAGGTTGCATGGGGCCCTGGGCAGCCTGATCTAGTTGTTGGCAAGCCTGCCTACACCAGGAGGTTGGAACTAGATGGTCTTTGAAGTCCCTTCCAACCCAAACTATTCTGTAATTCTATAACTCTTCTTTACATTGTTTGCACAGGAACCTTGGACTTGACCTTTTATTTGCCTGTATCAACACATTAGTACAGTACATTGTTTTTTTAACTTACTGACAGATGTTTTAAAACAATATTTTAAAACGATGAAAAATTTTACCAGACCTAAAAGTAGTTATTCACTTGCTAAACTTCTTTAAATCTCCAGCCATCCTTCTGACTGCTTAAAGACTAGGTACATGCTCTAATTAAAGCTTCCTTTGTTTAAAATGTTTTCATGGAGGCTGTAGCACTTAGGACATTCCAGGATGCAGAGGACACTTAATGAAAGCAGCAATAACTGTTCCAGTTACCACCATCTGTAATGATTTAATCGGAGAGGGAAAGTGCATCTTACAGAAAAACAAAAAAAGTTGATTTACCAAAAATGATTTGCCATAGAAGTCTGGAAACTTTAGAGTATAACAGTAATCATGCCAAAAGATGCGTTGTCACATTGACACTTAAGGGTGCTTTTATCCTTTTTGTGCTAGTGTTTTAAAGGACAAACTCTTCTGCTGTGAGGATGGGAGAAGAGTGAAGCTGCTATTCCTGGAACTTCAGGGAAGAAAATACCCTTGAAATGAAGACTCAGTGTTTTGATTGTATTCTGTTCTGCTCCTGTGTGCTCTTGGCTAGTGAGCTGGCAGTTCATGGATGGCTGCTTCAGAGACTGAAGAACAGATTTCAGGTGCTACTCCTTAGAGAAGGGAATGTGTGCTGCCCACATAGGTAGAATGAGACAGGACGCTGAAGAACTACTGCTAAAATCTGATCCTGATCACCCATTAATTTTTTACATCACAGTAGCTCAGTTTGATACTTCGAAAAGTATTTATCTTCTGTATTATTGCCACATGCTATAAAGATATTAACCACTGCACACTTACTGTGAGTCTGTATGAATTCACATTTGGCACAGAACAGAGAATTGTGGAATTATCTGGGAAAATGAGGTGCATTTTCACTGTAATTTGACCTTGCAGAATTTAAATGTGCGATCTTGATAAAAGCAAGCCTGACATGAAACAGAGTTTTCATTAAGTTGGTTTTTACTCTGAAATGGTTGAAGATGCACTGATGTATTAGGAAAAGTGTGTGTGAGAGGGGAACAATGAAAGTTACGTAACTTTTTCTAAAAATTGCCCCAATATGTAAGAAATCATCAGGCATTTGAAACTGTGGTTTTTAGAAACACTTAAAACCTTTGCCTCATTAAGATGCACGTACATCACCTTCTGCCCAATTGCAATGCAAAGCTTACAAAATCAATGGAACCACACTTCCATCTATTTCTATTCTGCCTACAGCTATCCAGGCTCCCAGCCTTTATGGCAATACCTTTGTTTTTCCCCTATGTTGCATTGAGGCATCAGTAAGACCTTGATGAACCATTCTCTTGAAAGCCATTCTTTCCCCACACTTGGTGTAGGATATTGACTTATTCAAATACCAAAGCCATGATTTCATCTTCCCATGAACTTGATCATAA